TTTCAGGGAGATCTGGGCTCGGTTCTTGGCGTTCGAGAGCAACATCGGAGACCTGGCCAGTATTCTGAAAGTCGAGCGCCGTCGTTTCACAGCCTTCAAAGATGAATATGAGGGCAAAGAAACAGCTTTGCTTGTAGATAGATACAAGTTCATGGACCTTTATCCCTGCTCTACCAGTGAACTTAAAGCTCTTGGTTACAAGGTTTGTCATTTCAGTTTTTTCTTTCTTTTTACTTGCCTTCTCGCTTTCTCTCAGTGATGTTAACACGTGTTGTTGTTTGAAGGATGTGTCTCGTGCCAAACTGGCTGCACTTCTCCCTGAGGCTGTGGTGGCCCCCTCTGTGCCTACACTAAAGGATGATCCAGATCGTAAACCAGAGTATCCCAAACCAGACACCAACCAGATGATCCCCTATCAGCCACGTCATCTCGCTCGTAAGCCTTCATCATTCCTGCAGCAATATTCTTTGTATGCTGTTTTTTTTTCTGTGACCTGCTGCTGTCTTTCCAGGGTTTTCTCTCTAAATAGACCTAATGAGTAAATGGACTCCTCTTTGATGTAACCTCTAATGTTGCCCTCCACAGCACCAGGCCTACATCCAGTCCCTGGTGGAGTTTTCCCAGTCCCCCCAGCTGCTGTTGTCCTAATGAAGCTGCTGCCTCCGCCTACATGCTTCACTGTAAGTTACAGCAGACTAACGCTGCCAGGCTAATTTTTTATTCTGTTCACCCAAAGACGTCAGCAGTTGCCGTGTCTCAGATTTTTTTTTTTTTTTTTTTTTTTTTTTTTTTTTTTTTTTTGTCCTAAGGGTCCTTTTGTCCAAGTGGATGAGCTCATGGAAACTTTTAGGAGATGCACACTTCCTGAGAGTAAGTTTGTTTGTTATAGTTGTCATAGTTTGAGTAGCAGCAGAAATGGAAGCTGCCCAATAATGAACTGAATTGTTCTATGTAATAAAAAAGTAGACACATACATTTGGGAGTAAAAAAAATACAAGGCTTTACTTTTTTTTTTTATAGCAATATGTATCTTAAAGTGTTACATCTATTTGTAATTCAGCCTTTAATTGGTAAATACTTTAACCAGCTTTGCACATCAAACTTTAGAAGTTTTGTAAAAATTTTCTGTTTTAATGTGCAGACCTTATGCCTTCATCAATAATAAGATCATATTCTGATCACCAAACTGCACAAATTCATGGGTGGTGATATGCCAATGTAAACATTTACTACATGCAAAGGGATTTTCCAAATCAGAAACTAAACCGTGGCTGTAGGTTTTTTTTTTTTAGTACCTTTGAAAGTCATGGTCATTGTTGCTACAAAGAAGGAAATGAGCATCTGTTTGCAAAAGGGTGTTTTTTTGCTTTCTAAGAAAACCTGTATTAAGCATAGTTATTTTATTATTATTTTTTATTTTGTTAATAGCACTTTAAGATGTGAGGTGAGGCTACGAGGTGCACTATATATTATTTTGTATTGAATCAACATTTTTCTATAACCATTATTACCTCCAACTACATGGCTTAGAACCTCGTCCTTCTTTATGGAACAAGAATCTGATCATTTTAATTGGTGAAACCAAATTGCACATCTTAACATTTGCACAACAGTCTTTGTAGCCCACCAGCAACAAGCCCCCACTAATTTGCACATACTGAAAGAATACTAGACGTGCAGTTTAGTGCCTTTTATTTGGAATTTTTGAATATATCCAAAATATCCTTTTTTTAACATATTAAAATCCTTTTATCTCAACTATACCTTTTTAGCTGCGTTAAGAGTTAAAGGGTTTTTGTCCTGCTGAAGAGTTAACCTTTGACCCCATCTTACTACTTTTTTTCCAATATGGTCCTTTAGTTTCCTGAGTCCTTTGAAGAAAATAACACCAACAGCATGGTGATGCTGCTATGTTTCATGGTGGGGATTGTGATCATGGTGTCGAGTAGTGTACATTTATGCTTATTTAGGACCATCTGATGAGCAAACCTTCCTACTAATTGATGCACTGTCCCTCAAATGCTTGTCAAGCTTGAAATGATCCTTTAAAAAAATCAGCATGTGAAACGTATTGGATATCACCATGATGTGTAACGAAAAGGACGTTCCAACCACCACATTTCCTCAGTCTGTTTAACAATGGATGATGCAGTGGAGCCAGAGGCCTGCTCCTTTACTCATAGACAGAGGGCAAATAGAGCAGAGAACATTTTTGTTCAGGGCCAAGGTGAAGATGTCCAACCTGCTCCTGTAAAAGGTGATAGAAATTTATAAAGGGTAAAAGTCCAGCAGAGCAGACTACAAAAGCGTGGTCACATGTAATGATGCAGTACAATAACCTCTGCATGCTTCTAGTGCCGCAGCAAAGGGCAAATTCATAAAGACAATTTCTATCATAGGTCCATAAGAAAACTGGTAGATTGACAATAATCTGGGGTTTTATGACCAGGGAATTATTCAGATGTCTTAAGTTGATTGTAATATTTCATTAATAGCAGAAAAACAAAAATGAAACGATGGAAAGGATGTCTTTATATTGATTTTTTTTTTTTTTACATATTCCAGCAAACTCACCGTATGTTTCCCCTTTATTGTAAAATTAACCGTGACACTTTTTATTAAAAGAAAATAGATGTTTTCCACTCATAAAAAACTGTAATGTGAGTCCTGAGTATCGGGAACAGTGATGGGACAGCTGTTTCTAAGAGATATTGCAGTCAGAAATATAAACAATGACTATGACAGTGTAACACCCTTGTGTAGCGTAAGAGTAATAAAACAGTACTTATATATATCCTATGGACCAGAAATATTCGGCTATGTTTGTCTACTTGAGCACAAGAGGCGTTACAGTATTTTTGAAAGTTAAAAAGACCACAGACTAGGGAATAAGTTTGAACTGCCTGTTTATTATTGAAAAAGCTTACACACAAGACAATGGACAACAATTAACACAATTTAAAATTACCCTAACCCTTTGGGGTTTTTTTGCGATTAAGTTTCAAACCTTTTGATTTAACCTCTGACTTTTGACATAATATCAGTTTATTATATCTGATTAGTTATCAGGGTTTATTATCAGGTTGCAACCCTTTTATTTTGGCTTAGTTCAAATTAGTTCTGTTCTTTTCGGTTAAGATTCTGGTCTATTGAGTCAACTCCGGCTGTACTAAATGTAACCAATTTATTTATTTTGGTAGAAAAATAAATCTGGGTTACAACAGTTTAAACAGAGATGGGAAGTAACGAAGTACAAATACTTCGTTACTGTACTCAAGTAGATTTTTCTGATATTTTTACTTCACTTTACTACTTATTTTTATGGCGACTTTTTACTTCTACCCCTTACATTTTTACACAAATATCTGTACTTTCTACTCCTTACATTTTTAAAAATTGGCTCGTTACTTTAGTTTTGAATCATTTCAATGGAGTTACCGTTATTATTTTTCACGTCATCAATACCAAATTCAATCTAATTGGATGGGAATCTACGTTGCATTTGACGCACCACTACAAGATGAATCGACAGATTCGGCGGTATTCATTGGCGGCAAATCATTGCAGCTTGGTGGCGGTGGCGTTAGCATAGTAGCATGGACGACGAGATGATTGAAAATGAACACAACGGAGATCTAGTCCTATTGGCAGACATCCATTTAAAATGTAGGCAACGGCATGAAAAAAGTGGTTTCTACTTTTACTTTTATACTTTAAGTAAATTTACAAGCCTGTACTTTGTTACTTTTACTTGAGTAAAGAAGTTTAATCAGTACCTCCACTTTTACCAGAGTATTTTTTAACACAAGAATCTGTACTTTTACTCAAGTACGGAAAGTGAGTACTTTTGCCATCTCTGAGTTTAAATAAAGAAGTGACACCACCGTGTTTGTGGCTTCAAGTCTTACAGCTGATGGGTCTGGAGGATATTTTATCTGTCAATTCAAAGAGGTTCACTTGGACAGAGAAGGTTTTTTCTTCTTCCCCTCAACTTGTATCTTCTACGTAGTGAACTTCAGTTATAATTTGGCCTATCCATATTTATAAGGCCCAGATGAAGGGCAGACTTTGGTTATGCCGCTGCTTTGAGCTAATATGACTGATTCTCTTTAGGTGTCGACGCTGCTGTGGAGCTCATCACAGGCAGGCAGCCTGAGGCTGCAGGCGAGGGGAACGGCTCCATGGAGAACCACGCTACCGCCAAGTCACTCAAGAGGCCAAACGCGGACTCTGATGAGGAGGAAGACAAGGGAGCTATAGCTCCACCAATTCATGACATCTACCGCGCACGCCAGCAGAAGAGGATTCGATAAACTGGCAGAATGTCGTCTCTTAACAGAATAGGATAAAACATTTCCACAGAACTTGATTTTACATCCATACACACAGATATGTCCGCACACACAAGTTTTCGTTGTTTGTTTTGTTCCATCAGCAGCTTTTTATTTTTTAAAGACTGATAAATGTACTGTACAAATTTTTTGATTCAACCGAGGACTTTGGGATACGCTCACTTCTGACCTTATGTTTTAGGTGTTCCCATGATGGTAAAGTGGAAGCTTTTTTTTTTTTTTTAAGGTATCTGGAGGAAAGATGCCATTTGTTTCAATAAAATTGGAAAATAATAAAAAGTGAGTATATGAGTATTTATTTGTCGTTGAAAAGGCTGAATCTGCAGGACCCATTTGAGATGTATGTTATCTAACAAACCAGACTTTTCCCGTACTGTTTTCTTAATGGGAGATTAGAAAGCCTCACATGTGTTTATATCCTCAGAAGTTTTAAACCCGGTTACACAGATGGCACCATCCTGTCTAGCTGTAAGTGTGTTTGCATCCTGAAATGTTTCTCCGCATCTTGGTGGTAGTAGCAAGTAACAGATAACAGCTGGAGAGCAGGGGGGGCAAATGAGGGGTTCTGGGGTTTAGCTTCCTCGGAACAAAAGGATTTCTTTTTTTCGTTTTGTCAAACAAGAACATGAGCGGTTAGAAAATTAAAAACAAAGTAAGACAGTTCTTTTATTTCACAGAAACAGATTCACAAGTTTAATTTTTACTAACATTACCTGCAGAGAACTGCTCTCTTTCTAAATGATCCCACCATGAATCAGTTTACAACTGATCAAGCAGCGAGCACAAATTACCCGGCATACCAGATGCCATTTGTCTTACCATAGCAACCGATGCAAATGAAAATGCATGAAAACTTCACATCTACCTCTGACAATATAAAACACAAACAAGGTGTTATACAGTTTCAAAATGGCTGGAAAAACTTTAAGCCAATGGGTTATTTTTACTTCATTTAAATCAACCCTGAATAGACCACTATAACGTGGCTGAGATTTCCATTAAAGAAAGCTCTCTTCAACATCTGTTCTCATTTTTTTTTTTGCAACAAACAAAACATGTATGTTTACCTCCCTATTGTTACCACAGCCGAATATGAGACTTTTAAGATCATTTTTTGATCTGAAGCTACAGAAAAACCTCCACGAACGACCAGCCTGCAGGATTCATCTGATGGTATTAAACTAAAAATGTTGCATCTTGAGAGCTTATAAAACAATAGTTTCCTCTTCCAGAAGAAACTGTTCTTTTTCTATTAAAAAATAAATTTTTCCATAGTGTCCTGCACCAGAAATAAAGCTTAAATAAGTAATTAGTAATCCTAGTTCATTAAAATAAAAAAGTCACATTCCTCGCTCAGTCATTTGATCATATCCTTCATCTATATAACAAATTATTTTTTTAGCTGCATAATTATTACTGCAACAACATGTTGATACTAGATAATTTAGCTCCAAAGTACTGAATAAAAATCTCCGGATGAGCTTTATAAAACTGTCCCAGCAGCCTCCTCTTCTCCTTTGTGGAGAATTTGGGGTTCTCATAGATTGTCCTCAGTAGCGAAAGAATTTCCTCTTTAGTGGTTTTCTGTCCGTTTTCTGAATACTCCTTAGTGCTAACCCTCGAGCAGTACATTGTACCTGTAGTGGAGGAACACAGAAAAAGATTTATTTGAGGAATTTTGAAAGCGATTTATTTTTATTCCTCAACAGTAGATAAATCTGCAAACCTGTTATAGTGTCAGGATCCTTCCCCTTCACAATATTCCTTAGTCGTTCACTCACCATCTTGTGCAAGGAGATGGGAATCTGTAGAAAAAAGGAATGCGGTTCTTTTTATCCGGATTTAGTGATCAAAAATTTGCTCAAATATTTCACAACAATATTTTATGGCAGTCTGCAAGCAAACGCACCCACACACTTACTTTAAACAGATCACAGTGGTAATCCATCATAAACAGAACCATCAAGTCCACCTTTCCCTTTGAGAGCTTTCTGCTGTATACAATGGAGCTGGCGAAAGACCTCTTCACAGCCATTCTGTTCTCAATCTGGGAAGATGTTTTCAGGTTATTGAGATAAAAAAGCAAACAGGGAGCAGCACCAAGGATGCATGGGAGCACTGACCTCTGTGTGCAGCTTCAGCTCCTCCGGTCTGGCTGCAGCGGCCATGAATCTCAGGAGCCTGCGGAGCTCCTCTCGACTGCTGGAGTCCTGCAGCCTCAGGCTCAGCTGCAGTGCTTCTAAAGCTAGTTCCAGCTTCCCGTTAACTGAAGACATGAGAGTAAAAATGTTAGAAACTGAAAAAAAAGCTGTTGTTTCACAATTAGGATCTGCGCAGGCATGAGGGGATACAGTATTATATAAAAAAAGATGCAACACTAAAAACTGGGAAATAATCACTGATGTTTTAATCTAAAACTAATTTGAAATATTTGTTATAGTATGGCTATTAATAAAACATGTTCATTACTAACACAATATACATTCCTAAAGGTATAGTGGAGGATGATTTTTTTTTCCAAATAAGTGGTCCTCCTAATTGTCAATCGTTCTGGTGGTATGTTTACAAAGGCTGTCCTATGTGCTCGTCCCCATTTTTACTTACTGGTGATGAGTCTGACATAGTGGAAAAATTGCAAATCTTCTTTGGAAAGTAAGCTTTTAGGAGTGATGCAAAGAGCAACTTTTAAACAGAGCATGCATGAGGAGAAATAGGGTTGTGCATGCTCTTGCACGCGTTTAATAGGCTTTCCCTTTCGCTGCAGATGCAGGATCGTTTATTTGCATTTTTTGGAGTGGAGAGGGCGGGTCTTTTCCAAAATTAATGTAAATCCTCCACTATATCTTTAAGGCCACATGATCGTACAAAAAAATGTTCCTTGTTAAGTATGAGAAAGATACATAGTCTTCTTTAAGTAAGCTGAACATAAAAGGGCTGCAATAGGTTGGGGTGGTGCATGTACAGGTGCTTTCTCAGCCACAGTGACTTTAAGGCCCATCTCATTGATTATTTAAACATTTATCAAGAAAAAAATAGTTGCTTCATTGCTCACCAAGAAGTTCTGAGATCCCAGAGTGGATATCAAAGACGTAGTTGATTAGGAGAGGTGGCCGCTGCGTCTGTCCATAATGCCTCACCAGGATCTGGTAAAGCAACCTCTTACACTGGAGAAGATCATCCCCACAAGCAGCCAAACCACGACTGACCTCCACCACCAGCTCATCAGGCAGAAACTCCAGACAGTCAACTGCTGCTGACATCCACTCATCAGCCCTGAGGGAGAAGGAACCGTTTCTACTTTAGTTCTCCATTTTTTCTGTTAATATATATGTACATGAGACAAGAACAAGATATCAAGGCAGATAATCAGAAAGGCCCAGATGGCTGGGATGGTTTGACCCTTAATCTGCTTATCCCGCCATTTAATAGTATTTGAATCACAGCCGTAGATCTGGACAATTTCAGGACACTTAAAATGCTCAAAAGAGCAAAGACTTATTTAACTGCAGGTTTAAACTATGTTTACAGAGCATCATTTTTAATGAAAGAGAAAATAATAGAAGATGAAGCCAAAAGCATTTTCACTGGACTGATGTCCTGACAAAAAGCAGGTAAAAAAAAAGGGATGTAAATAAGTACAAAAATTCTTAAGCATTAGAGACAACTGGGATATTTTAATACAAGTGGTTAATTGGTTATTATCGCTTTTAAAAATATATATATATATATTCTGCTCATATTTTGCACATTTCTATTTAAAAACAGTTAATTTGATTTTCCTTTAATAACTTCGTGAAATGCTAAAAAGCACAAAATGAGACATTATTACATTTTATATCAAAGTTTCTTTCTTTTTAATTTACTTTATCTACACAAACATGGCGCCAGAATAGCCATCAGATACATTTTCCTAATGCTGAAAGTATTTTTCATTACTTTTAAAGTTGTTCAATATTTCTGGGGGATTTTATGACATAATTAACTCCTGTGTGTTTATTCGCTCCTATATGATTTTCAATGAGTAGAAACCAGTTGATTTAATTTAAACATGGTACAGAATAAGAAAAAATTAAAATGCCTCTAGGTCTAAAAAATGATCAAGTAATTATTTAAAGCTACAGTGTGTAATTTTCAGCGACATCTAACGTCCAGACTGCAGATCGCAGCAACATGAACATCTCCCCCCCACCGCTTCTCCCCCCCAGCAGTACGGCGAGCGTTACGGGACAAAATGTCTTCCACGACGTCCACATCACCTACCTTCTCAAGTGATGAGGTTTGTTTACATATATAATTTTAATACTGCCATCTATTGTTCAGTACCGTCTCAGTTCATCTCTCTCAACTTGCCGTAGTTACTTTCGAGCGTAATGGGCGATCTCGCAATCGCTAGTTTGTTGGCTCTGCGCTGCCGTAGCGCAAAGATGTCTGCCTCCATGGCTGCGAGACCCGCTCCTATGTAATTATAGATAACGAATTCTAAGGCAACGCAAATGTTAAGGTTAAGAGGCTGAGCTCGTACATGATGATAAATAACATAGTTATGTATAATATATTACATTTCTGACTGTATATCCCTGTAATTATTTCACGCTGTAGCTTTAAGCTTATAGATCCTGCCTATCAATAAAAGGTCAAGATTTATATTTACATTCCATTTAGAAATGTCATTGTCTATCTCCATGAGCCATTAAGTCTTTGAAGAACTTACTGTGCTTCACTAAAAGCTTTCAGAACCTCTCTGTCCAAGTAGCTTGTTCCACACAGCAGGTCAGGGTCAGGGTCCCTGCAGGGCAGAGGGACCCGAGAGGCTCCCTCGCCATCTAACAAGCTCTCCAGCAGGGGGAGCTCTATGACCTGCAGCAGCCTGGACATAGCCTGCTGGTGCCACACTTCATACAAACCTGCAAAAGGAAAACAGCAGAAAAATTTAGCAATGAAAACATGCTATCAGATATATTTCATATTAAACTATGATGTTTCTTCACAAAAAAAAAAAAAAACAAACAAACAAAAAATATATATAACGTACACTCCTGTGAGAGGCCGAGGTGGCTCATCTGGGGGGTGATGGTAGCGCTGAGGTTCAGATTTCCCAGAATTTCCTCCAACATCTTTTCTCTCTTTATCGGGGAGTGGGTTTGATAGCTGGGGAGGTCTTGGCTGATGGATTAAATGATGAGATCAGAGGAAGTGTTACAGGAGCAGACAGAATCAGTAAGGTAAAAATACTTCCTCATACCGGTGGTTTGTTAACTCGCAGGTTCACAGAAAATGTTTAGCTGCTGAGACTCCAGAACATTCCAGCAACAAGGTACGAAACAACTTGTAATGCTGGGTAATAGTTTAAAATACAAATTTGTGTGTTTTTAAATTCCCCTTCATTGTATACCTTAATTTGCTTTATTTAGAGATTTCTGGATTTTTTTCCGACTCTTCAAGCTCACATCATCTCACCTTCAGCACATCTCTATGATATTTGTAGGTCTTTAGTCATTTATGGTTCTTCTTTAACATTTTATGTCATATTAGGGAATGGAGCTTTATTTATATTTTATTTATAATTTATTACCAAAAACAAAAGAGCCCAGCTACATGGGTTCTTGGATCTCTTCATGTTTTCAAAAGTGGGCTTATCAAATTAATCTTTCTTATTATTTAAAACACTCAGAGGATGTTAAATGAAATGGATTAGTGGAAGATATAATTAATAATATTTTTAGCTTCAGGCACCCAGTTCAATACCTTGCTAGATTAACACGCTAGATTATCACACTGAGCCTGGTTCTGCTGGAGGTTTCTTCCTGTTAAAAGGGAGTTTTTCCTCTCCACTGTCGCTACAAGCATGCTTAGTGTAAGGGATTGCATTCGGGTCAATGAGTCGATGCAATCACCTGGTTTTCCTTAGATAGAAAACTTTGAATCAATTTGACTGTATGATCTAGTGAACTGTAAAGTGATGAAGTAATGTGCTGTGAATTATATAAATAAACTGAATTAAAATTAAATTGAATAGATTTAAGAAAAGCCTGAACTATCAGAATCAGGATGTGAGAGTATGATTTCCTACCTTTCATTGTTTAGCGTACAGCTTCTCTGGTTCATGTTAGGTGAGCTACAGCCGCTCTCCATGGTACCGGTGGACTGAGAGTTACTGTTGGTCAGAGCCGATGAGGAGCTGGTTACCGGACCCAAGAACCGGTACAGACTGACACTGCTGTCCTCAAACTTGTCCCTTTTCTTCTCCTTTCCAAACACTTTAACCCCCACTGGTTCAAACACCTTAGAGTCCATGAGGACCTGACAGAGGCGGACGGCTTTTTGACGAGGCACCGCCTCATCACCAAAGAAGCGGCTGATGGTGATGTGTGACAGAACCACATCCACAGCCTCTGAGCCCAGGAAGCAGTCATGGTAGGACTTCAGGTTGTGGCGCCTGTGCTTCACCTCAACATGAGTTTGGAGATTGGAAATGATGCTGTTCCAGATGTAGGTGGCCCGGAAAGGTTTCCCAGCCATGTTTTGTTCTGATGGGAAGGAAAAGAGGATGGAAAATATTAGTGGCTACCAGAGATGTAAAGGAAGATAAGCGTGAAATCAGGTACAGGAAGCTGGAAGGAGAAAGCAGTCGACCCTTCAGAAAATACTGTATTTTCTCTGCTCTAAGCGTAACTATGCAATTTAAACACACAATCAGATCTCCTCAATCATTTGAAAAATAAATCGCTACAGAGCTGAGACACACATACCACTTCAATCCTATAATACTGTAGCAATTCGATGGTTTAGTTACTTTGTCATATAAAAAATGATTTAACAAGTTAAAAAAAACAATTTTCTCCCGTTTGAATTTACTGTGAAATTATTCACAAGGCCAGAATTGTAGTAACAGGCTTAAATGTATATAGGGCCTTGCAACCATTTTAATATCTATTTTATTTGTTTGCAGTTTGTCAACATAACTACAAAACTAAAATAACTGGTATTACATGGAGAAAGATCAACATAAAGAGGAAAAAAAATTGTTCCTGAGGAAAAAGGATCCAAACATGATGGGGCGTTCAGAGTAATGTGGAGTTTCAGTTTACTGTAACATACCAAATCTTTCAAGTAAATGATTAATGATTTCTATATTATATGGAAAACATTGATTATACTGTTTTATTTTAGTTATGCCTTTATTAAGAAATTTACAAGTAATGAAACTATTCTGAACTGGCTATCTATTTGTTTTATAACTGGAATAGTTTTACTTTTCATTTTATTTATTTTTTTCATTGCTATATTACTGTAAAGGCTAAGAAATAAAAAGGCCAAATCATATTTGGGTTGTGTTTTGTGAGTTGATTTAAATGTTAATAATTTTGTAAAATGGGTTGATAAGAGTGATCCATATTCTGAATCGAATCAAATGAAAATTGGATCATGACAGACTAATATCAGCAAACACAACAACTTATTCTGAGTTACTCCCTAAACAAGGTGTCCTTCTCTGTTGCTCCTCCAAAGCAGACAGATGTCTTCTCTTAAAAACGACTGCAGACCCATCAGTCAGCCTAAGAGCTCCATGTCTGTTCAATTTTCCAATGATGGCTTTAGCAGAGGTCTATGAGATGTTAAAAGCTCAGCTATTGTTTCATAACAATAAATAGTCTGTGTTCCCTGGCCTTCATGACGCTTTTTGCTTTCTGATATTATCTAACAAACATCTTAAGCCTTCACAAGACAACTTTATTTCTAGATTCTAGTTATTATTTAAGAGACATCTATAGGCAGGTTGTAAAAATACTTTCGACCCTCTTCTGATTTTTATTCATTCCTTTTTCTTTTTTTAAGAACACGTTGGCTGCTTTATTTCTTCATTTAATATCTAATTCTTTTGCCTGAATGGAATTATGTTATCCAAACACAAATGATAGGAAGATCTCCAAAACTAGTGATTAAGATCTTTTGAAATATAACAAGACATTTGTGCATCTTTTACAATTACTTAAGCACATTTAGTTACTTTACCACAATTACTTCATGTTAGCAGGATAGGACATGAAACAATGGTGTTAAAGTAGCTAAATATGCTAAAGAAGATGCAAAAGATTCATGAATTATGCAATTATGTCTTGACAATAAAAGAATATCTAGAATCATTTTTAGGTATGCTATGTCTGAATGGGCCTCTGTTTAGCTGTCTAAAGCTGAAATCTGTTGTCTGACCTCTCTGTTGTCCAACACTGAAGCATGCATTTTTTAAACTCCTTGTTTGAGCCAAATTCTCAGGAACTTCATAATTTGTGCTTTTCCTCTGTCTCTGCCCTACAGACACTCCCTGTCCCCCGGGTTCCTGAATGTCCGTGTCCAGAATCAAGATGGAAGCTATGCAAGAAAGCCTGGATCCTCTTTCATGATGAGGTGTTTGTTCAACACGACAAGAAGGTTTGAAATGATACTTACGGTAAAAAAATAAACACTCGTCACTGGTTAAAAACCATAGACAACTATCAGTGGAATGAGTCCCAGTTGCTGCACTGCCATTATCTCATTACATTATCATATAAATCTAGATATGTTCAACATTATACAGTTGGTGAGCCTTGTGTCATTCCCCCAGGAGCCAGGCTTGTTGAAGAAAGAATGGCAGGGCTTGGTTGCGATCTACGTGTCTCACAACAGGAAGCTTTTAAAGCCTGAAGAGCAAATGTTAGGAAGGATCTGAGGACATAAATCAGGCTCTGACAGTCTCAGTGTTTTGATAACACAAAGAGACAAATATAATTACAGACCCATCTGTGAAACCCGGAGAAAGAAAAAAGAGCCCTGGAACAGCGCAGCAGGAAAAGCAGATGTTCTGCCACAGAAGATGGTGATTGTGGGTGATCTGCTGATTAATGAGATGAATTTACGTCAGACGGCGTCTCTCTCTGCAGAAGAACTTGTCCTGGACTTAGGATTTGCATATTAGGAAAGAACATTTTGGACTGCAGCAGCTGTTTGAGGAAGAACACTGAAGAGGTTTGCATAAGAAAACATAATCTGAATGCAATAGGAAGGTGTTAAATGGATTCATTATAGGCTTGGAGGGGAAAATCAGGAAAGACTCTAATTTAGAGTTAAGGGAAGACCATCTGTGGAACGTCCAAGGGGGGTCTAAGGATTACTGCTGTAAATCTTGGCTTATCACTATCCCGGGAAGCTTGTTTAAAAAAACAGGATAAAATGGTGTTTCCTCCCTTGAAGATTTCCTCTAGTTTTGGTTTTATTAGTGTTTCATGAAAGAAACTTTATTATAACAAAAATTAAAAGCTATCAAAATCAAATTACTTGAAAATGAATTGCCTTCTGAACCCAGTTGTGAATTCCCTGGTGGTAAAAACTGCCATCAAGTGTTTCTTCTAACTGGCAGCCAGTCTATGCAGCAATTTCAGCCCAACTTGTAATAAAAAAAAAAAAAAATGGAACCACACTGGAGGATATTTAGCATGACCTACTTGTTAAATCTGTACTGCTTAATTTTTTTCCAAATTACCAAGACTTTGACTAGGTCACAGGGACACCTTTGTTAAAGGTATAATGGAGGATTTTCGCTAAATTTTTAAAAGACCTGTCCTCTCCACTTAAAAAAACAAGCACATGCACAACCCTGTACCAAGCCCCAATAGGGAACCGCTATTAAACGTGTGCAAGAGCATGCGTGAGCCCATTTCTCCTCGTGCATGCTGTTTTTAAAAGCTGCTGTTTGCATTGCTCATATAAACTTTCTTTCTAAAAGAAAATTCCCAATTTTTCCTCTATCTTAGACTAACCTGAGGTATGTGAAAATGGGGACGAGCACGAAGGTGGGCCTTACGTAAACATCTCACCAGACTGATAGGCAATTAGGAGGACCACTTATATTGATGATCCACCCAGAAAAACAACATCATCCACTTTACCTTAAAGTGTTATGCTCGGGGCAACTGTTCTGCTACATCACCCGAGTGTGTTTAACTTCAGGTCACAAACTGATGGCCGGATCTTAACCTTCAGGATTTTCTGGTTTGGACTAGAATTCATCGTCTACCAATTCTTGCAAGCTGTGCAGGTCCTCAGACCACAACACAGCCACCTCCGTGTTTAATCATGGGTGTAATGTTAGCTTTCTAAAATGCTATGTTCATTTTACACCAGATGTTAATCACGACTTTCAAAATGTTAACATTTTATCACTTCAGTCCAAAAACAATTTTCCTAAAAGTCTTAGGGATCATTGAGCCGGGCTTTGGCAACTCTTGGATTTGTTCAATTTAACCAGTCTGTTTCTTACTGTTGAATCATGAACACTAACATTAACTGAGTAAAGTCAGACCTGCATCAAACCATATGCTGCTCTGTGTGTGGGAGTCCAAAAGCATTAGCTTTATGACAAAGATGTCAGTCTTTAGAGTCTGACTTATGACTGAAGTGGCCAACCTTGTCTCCTTAAATGGTTTCCTGTTTCTACAAGTTAGACCAAAGGTACGTGACACTAAACCCAAAGGGTTGTTGCTTTTTTTAAGGCACTAAACACAATAATAAGAAAGGTACTTATTTGTTTGTGTATCTTGTTTCTGTGCTGGTTACAGACTAAATTTACAAGGGGGGTTAGTGTTTTTTCATAAGGTCACAGAAAAAAAGAATGAAACAAAAAACAGGGAAAAGTTTCCTTGTTTGTTAAGCGAACCAAAGGGATATTAGGAGATATTAGAAGCCCTGGAAACCTCAGAATTTATTTTTAAAGCATCAATAAAATAAAACACTAAATGTAAAAAACTGAAATTGGTTCAAGGGATGTATCAGTTGTAGTTTCTGTTTCAGTGAATATACTTTATTTATCATACATCATATTTTTATCTTGCCTTATGCCTTTGGTACAGAGGCCATAAGAGGGGGCAGGACAAGGGGCACTTGACCCTGTTGGCCCCTGTCTAGAACCGCCCCTGTCTTGTTTGACATTAAAATATAAACTGGTCATTTCTAATGTTTAATTATGACAAAAAAGTGAAAAGAAAATGAGGAACTTTTATTTTCTAAAGACAAACTTTTTCCCAGCATGCCATCTGTGGGTAAAACATGAAGAAGATCCAAAGAGTCTAAACAATTCTGGGAGCTCTGCTTAGCAATGTCATCTCTTGTTTTGCGCTAGAAGAGGCCGAAGCCAGCTTTTCTTCACTGTTGTGATTTCTCTGTCCACAGATTAAGCAACACATGAAGAATCCGAGCTGGCTGTGCTGTGGACCAGGGCCGGAGCTAGATGGGGGGCCCAATCATTGGCCACCCCTGTGGTCACCCCTACCACTTTTTCCCTCTAAAGCCGGGCCTACACTGTGCAATTTTTTTTCAATCCTTGTACGCAGCTGCTGCTCACAGATTCTTCCACGACTGGAAAATCGCCCTGAAAAATTGCAGTGTACGTCGGGCTTAATACAGACAGGGGAAAAAGTAGTACCCTGAAGTGGAATATTCAAACCATTTAAATTTTTTATATATTAACATTTACTTGACAACAAAGACACTGCAGTTAATTATGCACATAAATATCTTGAAATTAAAGATAAGTAGATAATTAGATTTTGTGTAATATGGGGTAAAGAGAAAATTATGTCTCTGCAAGTCTTCTAGGAGTCTTCAGTAAAATCATGGATAAATAACTATTTTAATAAATAAATAAAACGTAAATATAATTTTTTTGCAGAATGATTATTGATAAAAATAAGTAATGACAATGGAAAAGATTTTTGCCCCAGAACTTAAACCTGAAAGAATTGTATCCACTATATATGCGTCTATTTGTTAGCAAATTCTGTAGGAAAAATATAGTTTGCCTTCATTTAGAAAATATGGATGTTGTGCTCTTTAATATTCCTGTTGGAACAGTTTAGCTCAACACAAAGGTTTTGGTGCCTATCCACTTTCGGCCATCCCTCAGTGTAGCCTACATTGGTTATTGCCTGGCCACCCTTATAGGAATATTCTGGCTACCCTGCTGTGGACACATTCTCCTAACCTTTTATCCATAATGACAATAGCGCAGCATGTGTTTGCACACATCAGCGGAGGTAAATAATCGCACAGGGAGCGGCGCGCATCCCACATGGGGAACCTTATCTGCAGCTGGAAGTTCCTGCATGGTGACTGCCAACACTATGAGAATAAGAGCTTTAACTTTCGGTAGGCAAATAAAAATCACAGCCGGTGGATGATAACATCTCATTCCTTCAGATTGTCCCATCTGGCTTCAGGGCGAAGCTCCAACCTCGTTGGATTATTGGCCCACATGAGTTCAAACCCTCATATCCTGTGCAGATTATAACCTTTTTGTTGTCATGTTGTGACACAAACACGCCATAGACTGAGCCAGCTGAGTTTGCACAGACCAAATGTCAAAACTCACCTCAAAACAAACAGATTGTTATAAAAGGCTTTCGTTTTTGTCAGCTAAACATTCAAATGGTTTCATTAATGTTAGTCTTTTGATTTAAAACAACAGAAAAAACGTATTTCGGAGAGTTTATAGTTATTAAAGTAATGATCTCTTTTATTTTGTAAATAAATCAAATAAATCAGATAAAATGCGTGAGTCGATGCTGTGCGTAAAATAGTTGGCCAACATTAACGGCGTTTACGCGTTTACGCAACAACAGAGTCAGAAATGTTCCAAGACACATTACATCCAGAGATAATAAATGTGAAAGTGTTCATTTATAGACAAAATAAAGTAATTACCTGGTCCCTGTGTGTCCATGCGGACAGCCATCCACCCACACCATGTCCTTGGCTTTCCAGATCAAAACCTGAAGACTGATCCGACACCAGACAGAGCCGAAACCTCAGCCCCTCCCTTCTTCACATGAATTATTCATGTCCCAATCAGGAACCCCCCCCCCCCAACATGAGCCCTCCCCCTACCTCCCATTGCTTTATCATAAAGTCAATTACCTGCAATACTTTTTAAAGGTGAAACCATTTTATATCAATTTTTATAGAAACAGCAAAAGTTAAGGAATTTGCCTCCACCATTTAAATGAGCCAACAATGGACTTCGCTATTGAGATAATGAGAAGAATGACAGTCTAAAAGATTTGGATTTAAACAGTGAAACACAAAATTAAAACTAAGAAATGTTGGGGGAAAAAATAGTTCCATAGTTCTTTCCTCCTCCTTCAGCCAAACAACAAAATGCGTCAGAGGAGAGGGAGCACGTGGCTAAAGGTGCCTCAGGTGACAATATTTGTTGATGCTCCCTTCTGCTTTAGATGATGGTAGATATATGCTGGGAAATCACTTCAGCTGCCATTTATGTCAATGTCTTGTTCAATGCAACAGTAAAATGTGAGAGTGAAGGAAGGGTTATTTATACACTGTAAAGAAACCTGGGTTGAGCGTGCAAAGGGCGAGGCATGCGACTGGGACAAACCGGTTTGTTCACAATCCTTTAGGCATTTTCAGTGAAGACTAGATATACTAACCTTTCCGTTTTAGTTTGGGTTTTTTTTTTTTTTTTGGATAGGTAAATTGGGTTTTTATTTATACAATAAAAGTGCCCAAAAATCCAAGTGGAAATGAATTTGAAATCCTGAGCATAGTTTTAAATGGAACAGCCTCCATGCTGTGGGGCTTAGGGAAATGCTTTTTATTGCTATCTTTAAAGGGTTCTTCCACAAATTCTACAAATCAAACCTTTTTTAAACTATTGGCCTTAATATATATATATATATATATATATATATATATATATATATATATATATATATATATATATATATATATATATATATATATATATATATATATATATATATATATATATATATATATATATATATATATATATATATGTGGTATTTTAAAAATCTGTTACACCTGACAACTATTTGACAAATCTGTGTTGTTTCAGTCAATACCCGCTTTATTAATTAATCCTGTGTCATTAAACATTTCGATTTCCATTTACGCAGATGACATACACCTTTATATTGCTTTACATCTCCTGATTACAAAAGCGGGGTGACAAGCACCATTATTCCATATTAGATATCAAGGTGTGAATAACAGACTTTTCTACAACTTAACTAAGACAGAACTTAGATCACAGCAATGACGCTCAGAGAAGCAAACTTAGTTTTAAGCTCTGGGAATTGAAATTCAGTAGTAAGCAAAAACAAATAAAGAGTAATTTTAAAGTCCTGCTCCTATTTTGAGAAAGACAGTGAAAAAAACAACAACCTAAACCTTTGTTATATAATTATTGGAATTGTTTTGGTAATCCTTAAAAATAGAATAAAAATCGTAGTTGCAGCTGCTTTATAAGGCAAGGCAAAGTAAGGCAAGTTTATTTGTATGATTTACAATTCAGTACTAAGATAAATCAAATAATAAAATAGAAGCAAATAAAGATAAAAAAAAAACATGATAAAAGCAGGTAGTAAAACATACAAAAACAATTTGATCATAATTTTAAACTATTATTACCCCAGTTGGCAGTTTAACTTCAACAGTCAAAGGTGGTTTGAACTAAATGTAGAAGACCTGAGTGGTCTGAGAGGTTGACACTGATAACAAATCTGTTATGTATTGAGGTGCTGATCCATTCAGTGATTTATAGACTAACAGGAGGATTTAAAGTCTATTCTCTGAGGTACAGGGAGCCAGTGGAAGGACTTCAGAACCGGGCTGATATGCTCTACTTTCTCAAAAATAAAGGTTCACAAATCTATGCAAGAAACAAAAAAATCAGTCTATTTCAAAACATATTAAATGAAACATTTAGTTTGTCTTTTTCAATTTCCAACTAATTATTCTGTAGCTTATAAAAGGAAATCTATTTTTTTTCTACTTTGTGATTTTTTTTGTAGAGAAGGCAGAAACAGCTCATAGTCTCTCCATAACAGCTGTCGTGATGTTTGTGTCACTGTTGGCAGTTTCAACATCTCTCAGTGAATTTTAACCTTGTTTAAAATGTTTGTCTTTTATTCACGAGAGGCAGCACTCCTTTCTGTAAAGCACTTGCTACATGTTTACATTTTTAATTTGCTATACCAAATAAAGTCTGATTAAATAACAGGCTTACAGTGCTGTCATTATTTAAGTTTTGTAATCTTGCAGCAAGAGGGCTCCTTCTAGATCAAAGTACTGGCTTCCAATTACTCATTTGCAATTAAAATAAATAAAGAAGTGAAAATGTCCCTCATTAATTAGTGGATTTGATTAAAAGGTTAAGCAGAAACCAAGTTATTTGGATATTTATTAACTTTTTAGAAAAGCAAAAATTGAATCCAACATTTGTTCTTTCAGAGCCATCAGATCAAACAGAATACTTTTATATAGATAAAGTGGTTAACTATGATTCGTCAATAAAACTTGACATGTAAAGACAAAAGCAGATATATTGTTATATTTTTATAGCTATAAAGATTGGAAGAAGGAATTGGCCTTTTCCTTTGTTCTAGACTTCTATTGTACTGGAGGAAGTGTAACCCAGTTAAAGCAGGGAATCTAAACTCAAGGGTTGACTGGTTTTACAGGTTTTCACATGAATGTGCTGCTACATGATGTGCTGGTATTTTGTAAACTTGACGTAAAGAATCCCCGCCCTCAATGTGGCTCTGGGCACGACAGCGAGAGAAAGATGAGATGGAAACGTCATCAGAAATTCAACTCCTCAAGGTCTTACCAATATTTACTCTTCTGCTGCTTTCAATGCGCCTCGAAGGCTTTGAATACTTTCTTTTGTTTCTCGTACTTACTCATCATGAATTCAAGCACTACCTGCGATTAGGAGGATGACAAATATCCTTGGGAATGTTTTTTAGAAGTCGACATTCAATGGCATTCAAGTCAATGAATGGCTGGGATTCCTTGACAGAAACCTTTAACCCAGGGGTCTTCAGTGTTTTCCAGGCCAAGGACCCCCAAACTGATGGAGTGGGGACCCCTCTTATTATATATATTGTATGAAATTGTGTTCTATCAAACTGGTCCTATAGTCACTCTATTACAGATGCAGTAATGTAACGAAAGTGATTTCACCCTGGGATTATTAAAGTATTTCTGAGTCTGATTCATGTTGATGGGACAGGTGTTGTGAATGAAACGGTGCCCAGCTTGAAAGAGCTCCTGTGTGTCGCTGAATGTGTGAATTGATGACTGAAAGACATCTTCTGCCTCCATTTGTCTGTTTACTTCAGTGTGTTGAAATCATGTTAATGTGTATTTAAAGACATTTCAAATAGTGGAAAAAAATTTGCAGGAGGGAATATAAAAAAAAAACATCTAATCAACCAAAACTTTTGCGGCCCTCTTGCAGTACCTCCACGGACCTCCTGGGGTCACGGACCCCCTGTTTAAGACCTCCGCTTTAACCAATCAGACTGTATTGTCTCTGTAAAGTTTAAGATGAGATTAGCTTTGAATTTGCATGATGTAAATAAACTGAATTGAATAGAAAATGCACCGTATATAACCTTGCAAAAGCATTTGCACACTCAGATGATTTTTATTTTTTTGGGAGGGCAGTCCTCTTAGTAAAAGCTTAAAGTCATCAGATTGTACAGTGAGACTGTTAACACTGATCTTCAAGTTTATTTAGAACTTGACAATGACTGAGCCATTCTACTGCATAAACATGTTTTCATCTGATCCATTTTCTTGCAGCTGTGAGTCTGTATCTGGACAATCTTTGACATGTTGGAAGGTAAACCAAGGTTTTTCAGTGCCTGCTAGATTTTCTTCCACCTATATTGCATCAACCGTATCAGGATGTTGTAAGGTTGTAAGTTTTTTTTAGGCACTGTGCAGTCTTAACTTGCCTGCACACATCATTTTGCTTATAGCATTAAAGCTTGTATGCTGCATCCCAAATTCTTTGTAGCTTTCTTTAAGCCAGATCTACTGCTTTCTCCTACCTGAGCAGCTCTTTGACGGTTTTCAGAGCTTTTCTGATTAATCTCTCCATGTCTCGCTTTGTCAAAATAGGTGGGCAGTAATTGTTTAGTAGTTTTGCAGCCACAACATTAGTGTGCAGTTCTTTTAGAGGCTCCAGATAATATTTCCTAACTCCACTCTGTTTCAAAAGTCTCCAGAACCGCCTCCCTGACCTGTTTAGCATTGGTTTTTGTTCACTAATGTTCTAACACACCAACATAACATTTATTGTGAAGCACTTGCAAATAGACAACTGCTCAAGCTAGCTTGCCTATGATAGAGGTTAATCTACCAGTAGGAAAATGATCCAAAGCATACTGCTAATGCAACACTTGCACGGTTGAGGGAAATGTCTTGGAATGACCTAGTCAAAGTCCAGACCTCCATACAGTTGAAGATATATGGTGAGACTTGAAGAAACCATTTAATATGAAGCAGTTTTGTCTTGAAGAATGGGCAGAAATCCCAGTGGGAACATGTGACATGCTCAGAGAATTATCCAAAGCAACCAGCAGCTGTACTTGGCACAGCAGGTAGCTCTACAAAGTCCCGCAGGGGGTAAACATTTACGCATGCTGTTAAAATATCCTCTAAGTTGGCATGTTCTGTAATGAAAGGGTCGAAACTGAATACGTTAAATTCCTTTTAAGACGACAAAACAAAAAAAAATACCAAATGTGGTGACAATGTACATAGTTAATTTTATCCCTATTCTACTTTTCTATCAACATCTGATGCTACAAACACTTAAAAACACTGAAGTCAAATTCCTCTTTATTTGTGCACAAATTTTGGCCAATAAAGCTTCACAGAAAAAAAAAAAAAAACGATAGAAGAAATAAATCTTTCAGTTTATCTCTATACACTTGTGATGAAATTTCCTTATTGCTCAGCAGATAATGTCTCATTAGGAGACTTTTAAAGGCCAACAATGGTTTGCAGACCATTGCAACAGAGTATTCTTGTTTCTGTGCCCTTCTTCCTTTGTCATCCATTCTGAAGGGTCCTCTCAGTTTGTCTCCCACATATGGAACGAGGCAGGACATTAAAATTAATATGTTTCATCTGGAGAGCAGACACTCAGAGTCCATCTCATCCAGTTGTGCCACTGTTGGAATCCACAGTGCACGCCTGACTGGACCGTCCTCCACCCTCAGTCCAATCTGCAGCTCTAAAGGACAGAGGACAGTGCTGTAAACGGACCACAAAGACTTCTGTGTTTTGCCAGGCCATTTTTTCCCTCCTGCATTGTTGCTCCTAAGTCATTATTCAACAGCCCAGAGACCTTCTCGGTCACTCAACCGTTTGCAGTTGGTTTGAGAATATAGTGGGCGGCACAACTGTTGCTTTTTCTCCTTACTGTGACGCACAGAAGAATGTAAAGCAGCGTTAACATGAACTCTCTCTTAATTAGGTGAAGTTTAACTTTAAGTGACCCTTTAGGCTGTGGTACAAGGGCCTCGCTGACAGTGTTTTTATTATGTGCTAAAATGCTACAGAATAACTAGTATTTTCTGATTAAAATGCTTCTTTGAAATTGTTTACACCATAGCCGACTATACTTGGAATCCTTATTTCCAGGAGATCTCCCTTCCAGAAGGGAATCAGTGATGTGATAATGTTCCAGCAGAATCAACCTTTTTATCCCTGAAACAATACTGATATTGCTGCGTTTAGGACTGACTGATGTAGATATTGACCTGATAAAATATTGGAACAGGTCTTACTTTTACACGGCAAAAACAATCAATAAATAAGTCAACATTTCTTAAATTAAGTGTGTTTACCCTTAAATTAAGTAGGTAAATAAGATAATTTGCTAATGGAATGAACATTCTTACTTTTAAAATAAGATAATTAGATAATATGCAGTTGAAATAAGACAATGCAATTGTTTTTGTTTTTATTTTATATGTAAATTGCCCATTTCCATTGGCGAAGTGTCTCATTTACCTCCTCAATTCAAGAACAAATGCACTTATTTTGAGAAAAAATGACCTTAGATTTCTTTAAGGCCTGACCAATTGTAATTACTCAGAAAACAGTTAACAAGTATGGGAGCAGCTGACCCATTTATTCTCAACCAGTGCCTAAAACTGTAAACAGAGGAAGGGAGAAGGGGAGTGTTTCTATCCCCTTGCTGATCGTTGATTTTAGATACAGGCTGATTTATTCCAATATTCCCCCCCCCCCCCCCCCCCCCCCCCCCCCGCAGATATTGGACTGATTTCTTATAGGAATAGTGGATTGGGTCATCCTCGTTTTAATTAAAAGAAGCCTTTTAAAGTAGATATATAAAGCACGCCTGGTAAAGATGCTTACGAAAAGCTAAAAATTGACCAATTTTTCCTAAGGAGAAAAAAAAATTACAAACCACCTTGAAAAACAGTTTTCTCTTCAGTTAAACAAACTCGTCAAGTTTACAGGAGGCTATACAAGATTAAATCTGTTTGTTTACACGTCTCTCTTAGTTTAGCAGTGTATCGTATTCAATAAGGAAGACTAAATGAATGGTTTTCAGGTTTAAGGCATTTCAAAGTTCTTGTTCTCCTTTTTAAAAGGTTCAAGACCAGTCCCACAGTATCACAGATCTCAACTATACTTCCAAAGGCTTTTCCCTGGCATTACATCAACTTTTTAAGCCCGGGAATCCACACTTTGCTGCCACATCGTTTACCTTCATTACATTGCTCTGAACATTTGGTGGCTGCATCCACAGTCACACAACTGATAGTTTTGTGGTAAGAAGTTTCAAATCTAGACCAGGGATCTTCCTGCATGGACAGCGGGCATCCTCCTCTGGCTTACCTGATTTCATGATTGTTTTCCGTCATTCCATCTTGAAGAGATTAATATATATACGTCTAGGACAATAAAATAAACAGGAATATGTATAAAATGTTCTGAAATGCAGGATTTTTCAAAAAGATTCAGCACAGAAATAGGAAACTGCAATGAGAAATGAATTTACTTCAAAAACTTTACCAAGTGTGAAAGCCGCCATAAAAAGCTCATGTGTAATCTTCTAACAAGTCTAACATTTTCTCAGACTTTAGGAACACATGGCTTGCAAAGTAGATTTCTTATATGTGCCATTTTTATTTACAAACTGCAAAAAAGAACTGGAGATTTCAACATTTCTGGCTCACAAACAGGAATCTGTGAGAACTGTAAAAAGACAATGAAAACAACCAAAATCTTCAAAGCACAATAATTATTTCAGTGAAAAATATATATTTATGTCATAAAACATGGGCTTTGTATATAAGACAATATAAAGACAACCTTGAGTTATTTATTTTTCCTAACACAAATCAAAGTAACGTTTTTTTGTTCGATAAAACCGGTAACTGTGCAGGTTCCATTAAAACCCTTCTCATGGGGAGAGAGGCGTGTGATGCTTTCAAGTTCAACATTCGTGATTTGCAGCTGTTAAGTTACTCAGCAGAACAGCTGAGGATTTCACCTTGCTGTCTTTCTACAAAATGTACATTACATGAAGAATTTGGCTCTCCATTCAGGAATTGATGTTTAACAGCATAAACTAGTTATATATATATATATTTATTTTCTTTTTTACAATATATAATCTCTGCATGTAAGTCTACTTTAAATGATGGATGAAGGCTTATTAAAAGGATATATGATCCAGCTGCATTTGATTTGTTCCAGTTCACTTCCTAGAGCGACTGTTTTCTATCTATCAGAGGTTATTATATGGCCAAAATAAAAAAGGACAGTAGAAAAGCCAATAGAAACCTATAAAAAATGGCCCATAAAACACGGGCCCAAAAAACTATAAAAGCGTACAAAGAAAATGAGTCGCACCATGTGTAAGTCTTCCAAAAAGCTTCCCAAAAAGAAAGTCTTCTGTTGATCAAGTTACACCTTTGTGTTCGCTTCGGATCTCTGTGGCTGGAAAGATGGATCCACTGCTGCCACTGTCACTTAATACATCCTCTTGTGTTTAAGCGATGTACTTTGTTTTTGTTTCTCCTTGTTTTTAAACCTAGTCTGCCATGGCTTAATCATCTGCAGACCTGCTGCACTTCACTAATTAGCTCTTCAAAATGATCAAAGAGTCCTTCTACCCAAGCTTCGTTCTGCAGGCACTTTTGGATTGTCTCCTCCTGCCCCAGGTTGCCGTCCTGCAACCACAGCGAAGCAACCTAGACGACACAGAGAAACAAAACCAGACTGAAGAAGTACCGTACAAAAAAAAATAAAAAATTTCCCAAATTAATTTGTTTTTGTAAAATACAAAAAAGGAATAAGTGTTACAAATAGGGGTGTCCCTATGCGACTTTTATATCCGATATCAGCCCAAAAACGGATATTAGATTTTATCCAATTGGTTAATTTTACTGTAGGTGGGCCAGTTGTTTTTCTTGATTTTTGTTAACTTCCTTAATAGCATTACTTGATCCAGCCTTTTCTAACATTCTACAGGATAAAATAAGCAATAAAAGCTGGTATGATTAAAGCTAATAGTGAAATCAGGTCAATATCGGTATCGTATCGAAAAGGAAAAAGTTGCATCGGGACACTGCAAGTAACAAATTTAGCAATAACTTGTGCACTGTATAAAGTGCAATTACTATTTCATAACCTGAGCAACAACCTGTGTTTCTATAGAACTGAAAGTGCAATAACTACATATATAAATATAAATATCCATCTTTATAAATACCCATGTAAACACTCTGTGCAATAAACCCTGTATAATGATCCTACTATATATATATATATATATATATATATATATATATATATATATATATATATATATATATATATATATATATATATATATATATGAAAAAAAGTATATATTTCGCACCTTCTTCTCCTCCTTTGACTATGTTAAGTGATGTAACGAGTACATTTCTCCACTGTGAGATCAATAAAGTCAATTTATCAATCACAAACACAAACTGTAAGCTATTCCTTACCTTATCTTTGCACATGAGGTAGGTGTGGTATTTGTAATGCTCCAAAGAGTGGTACAGAGAGAACCACTGAATTTTCTGCTGGTCCACAGAATACTCCTGAAAGAGGAAAACTGTGATGTTAAAAAACTGTACTGTCTTTGGCAAAGCTTCGTGATGTGAAGTTTTTTTCTTTTAATCTATCAAAAACAAAGCAATGGAAAGCAAATAGTTGTTTATTTGAAATTAAGCTAGAGCAGACATTTACAGCTCAGCGATAACTTCCCCCCTCACCAAAGATGAATGCTTCAAGCAGTTTAACAATAAATGTGAATCTAATCCTACCTCATCCAAAATACTTAGGTTATCCAGAGCTTTTTTCTGCATTTGTGCTGCTGTAGGTTTAGACTGCTGGAGGACATAGGGACCCATTTTCATCATTCTGCCTCATTCTATTTATTGTCCCACTTTGCACTTATGCTCTCTCTACTTTTTCTCATAGTAGTTTCATTTGGTCTGTTCCTGTCTGGCTGTGACTCCATCCTGGAGTGAAAAATCAGCTACGCTGCTGCCATCAGCACCTTTGTTTGTAGATGTTGGAGCTCGGCCTGTTTTTCAGAGTAGTCCTGGTTCTCTGGCTGTAACTAACTGTATGTGCTCTCTTTCATCCTCTGACATGGGAGCTGGCTCGGAGCTCGTCTGCCCAGCTGTGTGTTTCCTGTGGAGCTGGTTGACAGTTACCCTTTGTATCACTGCTTCTTTCTGTATGTCTATAAATCCTTGAACCCCAGTCGGCCTTGGCAGATGGCCACTCACATTGAACCTGGTTCTGCTGGAGGTTTATTGCCTGTTAAAAGGGACTTTTCCTCTCCACTGTTGCTACAAGCATGCTTGGTGTAAGGGATCGCCTTCGAGTCAATGCAATCAGCCGGTTTTCCTCAGATAGAAAACTGTGAACCAATCTGACTGTATGATCTGGTTGAATTGTCTCTGTAAAGTGCCTTGAGATGACGTGTTGTGAATTGGCGCTATATAAATAAACTGAATTGAATTATATTTCAGTCGGCAGAAATTTTTTGATTAGAAAAAGAAAACAAAACAACTGTTTTATCAAGTTCGTCGTATCTAGTATTCTGATGTTACATTTTGGGTCTGTAAGCTGTAAGCAAAAAAAAAATGACCGAAGATTAACAGGAAAAAAATCAAGATAGATCTCTGTGTGTACATAATCTGTAGTCAGGATAAATGTATTTACACCTCAATTTAACATACTGGAATAGGTTATAGTCAGCATCTTTATGTTTAAATTAAAGGCGACAGAAATACGCATCTAGAAAACTAACTGTTACAGAAAACTCTTCTTAAAAGGGTTGAATATCAGTAGTTTGGAGAGATAAAATCCTCATCTTAGAGCAGACTAGTCTATGCAGACCTTCCTAATAAGGTTATAAACCCTAAGTGTATTAGAGCACAGAAACATGCTGCAAAGTAAGCTTGAGGATAGAGGTTGGAAGACAGGAGAAGCAAAAACTGGTGACACTGCGCCCTCTGCTGGACACTCAGCTAAATAACAATACTTTTTACAAGCCTGACCCGCATCACTTGGTCCAGCGTCTCGTAAGGCTTCATAGTGTTCTTGTCGTAGGCCTTCCCACTGAGACGTACTTTAACGGCTGAGGTTTCACCATCCTTCAGCTCAGTTACTACTGAGATTTCCGGGAAGCTATCTAAAGCCGTCTGGGGGGGAAAAAAAATAAAGAACAAAATAACCAGCTAAGTTAGAAAAAGGAAAAGGTTTGACTATTATAAGGTCAACAAAAGCTCACCTTTAAGAACTCCCCTATATGCAGTTTGTTAAGCAAGCGTTTCCTGATGTCACTGATCATCCCATCTACTTTCTTCATATGTGGCAGCAGCAACTCGTCTATAATAAGAAGCATGGAAAACGTTCTAAATCCTTAATAAGAGCAATCAAATGGCATCGGAAAACTAGATCACAAACCATTTGCTCTCTCCAGTGCTGTCATCACATCTTCGTCTAAAGCGACACTAATGAGGAGCTCAACAAAGCTTTTAAAAGTCTCCTTCATAGTTCTCATGTTGAGCTTGAGCAGCCGTGAAGTAAATGGAGCGTTTAACTCTGAGTGAGTTCAGCCGAGACGAAACATCAGTGGACAAAAAGGGGAAATGACAGAATAGAAAGGAATAATGAAAATTAATGATAAATTCAAGTATTTATGTAAAAAAGAAAATCCTTCTCAGTACCTTCTTCTGCAGATGATCCTGAGGGAGTCGATAAAAAATCCTCTTTCCATTTTTTCCTCTTCTTGGGCGGTGAATCTGCCCGCGACTTCACTTTGGGCCAGGGCTTTTGGTTCTGGGAAGCTGACGGATTCGTCAGCCCCAGCAAAGCTTTCATTTGAATAGCCCTGAGGGACAGAAAGAGGGTTACATTGCTGAAAAGCCGTTTGGACAAACCTACTTGTGCAGATTTATCAACATACTTTAGCGAACTCATAGGCTTTCTGCGTGGCTTCCGACTACAAACTCGCACGTACTCCCTTTTGTTAAAATTTTCCAAAAATTTCACATACACTCTCTTGTACAGCGTCTTTGCATCACCAAAGTATCCAAGGTACTGCAATGCACAGAAAGGTTTTACATGACGTTAAGAGATACGATAATTGATTCATCCATAGTCTGAGTTAACTTACACTGTTTGTGGCAGAGAATACTCTCTTTCCATCTTTCAACTCAGGCACAAATTTCTGAAGTAGTGCTTTCTGGACCTTCCAAATAGCCGGAGGCTCAACCCCTGCCCTCATTGTGACCTGAAGACATGCAAAACAAACTGGCTTTCAGGACATAGCAATAGATCGTTGGTATGAAAAATGACACTTAAGTAATAGAGGGAAGTCATCTTTTGTTTTCAAATCTTCAATGATAAATAGCAGATCTAAGTCTGCTAACTGCTATTAAAATGCTTCGATAAAGGATTTCAAACATTTTCTCAGCATCTTTGCGAAACATATCCTATATAATTCAAATTTGTAAAAACAAACCAGTTAGAAAAATATCTTGGTTGAGTTGGTGTGCACATCAAATTTCAGGATACCTTTCTCAGACCAAAACCTGCTATCGATCCCTTGAATTTCAGTCACATTAAAGTTAAGCTGTTGCTAAAGGATGTATCTAGCATGTGGATCATTATTTTATTAAAAAGATCTCGTTTTATACTGTGGCACTCCTTTCCATGTCTTGAACCTGGTACAGCTGCATTAAGGACTGAGACCTCTGTGCACGGTTTGTGCACTCTACCCCTAAAACAATGCTGTACCCTAGTTTTTCAGATGAAGCAAGGAGGATATTTCTCAGATAAAGGGCAGGAAGGGTGTTGAAATAATTCAATATAAGCTTATCGTTTCATGTTATCTAAACCTGGTTCATTATCCGGGGGATTATGTACTCTGCTGAGATCGAGGGAACAATTCTCTGAAGTTTATTCATTAAGTGGGAGAAAATAAACTAAAGGAATTTCTTTTATGCTCTACAATATAGAATATTATATCATCATAGATTGGTGAAAGGTCAATCTCATAGTTGGTTGCCATTTGGATTGGTGAAGATCGGTATTTGTAATGCAGACTCCCTGACTTATCAGGGTTCCTACAGCTTAAGGCAAGTGCAACTCAAGAGTTTTTAAGACTTCTGAATTCCACTTAAAATAAAAATTTAAAACCAACTTGACAAAAAAACACAAGAAAAACCTGGTATTGACAAATTTACACCAAATGTTTATTTTAACATAAACCATTACTTTCTGGCCCACCATCAAATTTTGAAAAAATTTCTATAGGAAGAAAGCTAAAGACAAACAAATACCAGATATATTCTTAACAACTACTGAACTGAATTCACTAACTTTGTTTTGTTCCCTACTCAACCCCCCTACTTTCATTGGCGGGGTAGCGCCAAGCATTTTCCTGAGATTTGGTTCTACTGGCGCTGTTGGTGATGTGAGAGATGCTGCAGAGGCGTTGCAGAGACAAGGGTGGAACAGAATAGAGAAATACCTGCTGCTGCTTCTCCATAACTTGATTTAACGCTTTGAGTCTCATGCTTCGCACATGTGTCTCCACTGCCTTGATTCCCATCGTGCTCCCTGGTTGTGGTTTTAGCCATGTAGAAAATTGGATGGATAGCCAATTTTTGTTTGAATTTAAAACTTACCCATGTTGTCCAGATAAGAAGTTACTGGCACATCATCCCAACATCCAGCCGCAACATCTTTTTTATTGGTTCCACTATCGAGACGGAACCAATAATGGTTACAGCGAGCGGTTCGGTAAATGTAAGAAAAATATTGTCAATTATTTTATTGTTTGTTATGGATTACAAAAATAAAATCCTATTTATGATGTGGTAACAATTTTAAGACCAATAAAAGATGGATTTAAGATATTTTAATACCAATTAAGGCCTTGACTTTATATTGAAGAATTCAATGCCTTTTAAGACTTTTTAAGGATGTGCGGGAACCCTGCTTATGCTGTTGAAAATAGAAAGCAAAAGGTCTAATGGATAGCTGGCAGCAGGGTGGTGTTAGGAAAGAGACAGATTCTGAAACAGCAACTTGATGACTCTGCCTACCGTATTTTCACGACTATAAGGCGCACTTAAACGTCTTTTTTTCCCCTCAAAATGTGCGGTGCGCCCTATGGTGCGGTGCGCCCTATGTGTGTTGTAACTGCGACTTTTGAGACCACCTCATTGAGGAGATGATGAAAGAGTGGCTGAATGTAAGGAGACCAGGTGTTTTTTTTTCCACTCATCACCATCGCTGTTAATATGTAACTCCATGCGTGCCCATCTCACAGCTGATGTGAAAAACATGGGGAAACAAATTAACCCTGTGCTCGCTGTTCAACCGCTCTACATCGGTGTGAACCGGACCCAGCAGGTGCAGCAGAAGCAGCGAGTTTACATGCAAAGTAAATGGTTGACGCGCGTATAGGTGCAGCAAAAGGTCCTGCAGCGCGTTTTGAGCAGCAGGAGCGTTTAAGCATCTGCCAACGCGCTGCTGCTGCTCGAGATGGAAAAATTGAAGTTTTGCTGCTGGACGCGCCGCATCAACCAATCAGAGAAGCTGATCTGGGAGCTGACAGCGAGACAGACACAGCGCTCTGATGACATATGATATTAACGCAAATGGAAAAGGCTGGATGGATGAGGAGATGATGAAAGCGTGGCTGAGGGAGGTGTAGCCTATGTGAGGAGACCAGGTGGTTTTTTCCACGCATCACCATCGCTGCGTGCCCATCTCACAGCCGATGTGAAAAAAAAGGTGAATCAAATGGATACTGTGCTCGCCGTTATCCCGGGGGGTCTGACAAAGGAACTTCAACCGCTCGACATCAGTGTGAAGCGGCCGTTCAAAGTAAGGCTGTGAGCGGCGTGGGAGCGATGGATGGCCGACAGAGACCACAGTTTCAGGATAAGTGGAAGGCAGCGCCGGGCAAGTTACGCGACCGTTAGCGGATGGATTGTAGATGCTTGGACTAACGTGTCTGCTGGCTCTGTTGTACAAGCTTTTGCAAAAGCCGGCATTATTTCTGAGGAGCTGCGCTGCACGCAAAGTGACTGACAGCGAAGAAGGGGAAATTGGCATGTCTGATTTAGTGCAGCTGTTTAATTCAGAAACAGAGGATGATGACTTTGATGGGTTTGATTAATACTTTGTAATAAATACATGAATAAAGCACAATCATACTCAGTTTTGCTACCGCTCTATTTTTCTACCTGAAAACTTAATTCAACAGCAGCCTCTAGGCGGGTCTCCTCCTCTTCACCGCGGTGGCTGGCAGGTGTTTTTTCATCTAAATAATCTAAATCTTGCAGCTATATTTGCTGTGATCAGTGGGAATAAAGTAGTTTTAATATGTTTTTAAGTGAGAAAGGCCACCTGAAAACTTAATAATTGCAGTCAGTTCATCCAGATTATCTATTTCTGTCGGAGGCGCTCAGACCCCCACATACCAGCGGTGCGCCGACAGGAGAAATCCTTTCATCAGCAGCCTCTAGGCTGGGCAGCCTCCGGGTTCACGCGGTGGCTGGCAGGTGTTTTTCATCTAAATAATTTAAACTGCAGGCACCCATAAAGCGAACATATTCCGTCGGCAGGTTTCAGGATTTTAAGTTAATTTAGGAGTGATCACAGCGCTGTGTCATCTGCGATGTGTCTGTCTCACGGCCAGCTGCCAGGTTTGATTAATACTTTTTAATAAATACATGAATAAAGCACATTCATACTCAGTTTTGCCCCCGCTGTATTTTTAAATACGCAGTAGAGGTATTTAAAGGTAGTAGAGGACATGTACCTGTATATAAAAAACGTGCCCTATAGTCCGGTGCGCCTTATGTGTGTGTTAAATACAGAAATGGGACACATAACTGAGACTGCGCCTTTTAGTACGGTGCGCCTTATGGTCGTGAAAATACGGTAACTCTTAACTTTCTGTTTGGTCACTAAAAGTCAAAGTACCTTAAATGTTTCGATGTCCTCATTCTTGATCACAAACTCATCTCTCTCTCGATACATCCCCTCTCCCTCGCTGTCAGATGGCTCCCCTTCCGTCAGCCCCTCAATGGCCACGGTCGTCTCTTTGGTCAAAAACTCCTTCCCTCCTGAGACTGTGGTTGGTGCAGAGGCCACTGGCACAGGGCCCACCGGAGCAGGTGTGGATACTGGTGGCAAGCCGGTAAGCTTGACTGGCTTCATTACTGGCACCTGAACTTGGTTATCTAAGGAAGGAGTTGAAATGTATAATATTGATGAGGAGTCATTTTAGCCTGCCTGTCTCAAAAAAACAAATTCATGACCAAGAGTAACTCAAAAGAGTTTTGCAAAAATCTAATTTAATTTAATTTCCTGCTTTAAAGAACTCTACTCATCCCCAGCAGAATCTGTTTTCTATTGACTAAAAATGCTAGGCTATGACCAAAACATTAAATAAATCTAATTCATTCAACACACAGTTGAATTTAATCTCTGGAAACAACGGTCCACCAAAACTCGCTCGACAAAACATTGAACACTTAATTACAGGCTGACTGATTGATGTTTTCTAAGTCAAGGCAGGAGGCCATTACCTATATTTGTTCTCCCATCTGAAGACTTATCCAGAGCTGAGAGAGCTGAGCTGATGCTGTTCCTAAGAGCTTGATTCCTCCCAGTACTCTCCTCTTCGTCTGAGCTGAATGAGCAACGTCGGTTGCAGTCATTCAGGTTCTTCTGCAGATCCTTTTCTAGATGTTTCTGCTGGGAGTTTAAACCTGGACTCTCCTGGGGAAGTGAAGGCCTAGGCAGAGTCAGCACTTGGGGTTGAAAAGAAGGCAAAATACAAGGTTTGGAGCAAGAGGAGGGTTTTCTTGGACGACTGCTTGTTCTCGTATTGCTTGGAGAGTATTGCTGTTTGGGGCCTGATTTGATAAAGTCTAAGAAGGAGCCAAGAAAACCGGTTTTGACTTCTGGCTGCTTCTCTTCCACCTCACGGATCTTCTGCCAGATTCTTTCTTGCTGAGGAACACTGTCCTTTGCGTGCTGACCATTGGAATCCACAGGACTTGACATTGCAGTCATTTTGACGTCATTTGGCTGCTGACTTGCCATTTGGCTGTAATGGAGGTTTGTGGAAGAAGAGCAAACAGAGCTTGGTTCAGACATGACTATAGTCTGCTGACTCTGGTTTTCAGTGACGCCGGTGCAAAGCAAGCCTCGATCCGTGTGGTGGTACTGGACGTGAACTGGTCCCAAACGTTGGGCTGCTTCAACACCCTCTGGCTGCTTCTCTTCCACCTCACGGATCTTATGCTGGATTCTTTCACGCTGAGGAACACTGTCCCGTGTGCCATTTGCGGCAGATGGTGAACTGGCATCACTGCCCCGTGAGATTTGGCACTTAGTTTGTCCACCCCGCATGGTCGGTCTAGTGAATCCCTCTCCCTCCTCAGGACCACCTGGTTTTGTTCTAGACTTGGAGCGTGTTTTCTTTTTTGGTGAGTCTTTAGTTCCAAGAGATTTTTGAGTTTCTGCATATTTAGTACCATCTTGGCCTCCATTGGATATACCTGTATATCTAGTACTATCTTTGACTCCATTGGAGACACCTAGGGAGTTTAACACCTGTCTAGCTAACTGGAAGCTGCTCTCAGAGATCCTTCCATCCCCATTTATAGTGAGATTATTGTAACTGTTGTGGCCAACAGACTGATCCTGGCTGGCTGTAGCCATGTGAGCACCATTTAGTGTCATACTGATAGTGTGGCAGTGAGTGTTGGAGACCGGAGGATGTTGTGCTGAGGAGAAACTAGGTGACATCTGGCTTATATCCACAGTCATGAGATGACCTTTGGAATCCACAGGACTTGACATTGCAGTCAGTTTGATGTCAGAAGATGATGCTGCTTTGACAAAATCTTGAGGTGTGACACCACAAGCTGCCTCTGTAGCAGCAAAGATGTCGTCGACATCTGACAAAATATTTCTCTCATCTGCTAAGAGCATCGAGTCTGGAAAGCAAATAGAGTCAAGAGCAAACTGACTTTTGCCATCATTTGGCCGCTGATTTGCCGTCTGGCTGTAATGGAGGTTTGTGGAAGAAGAGCACTGTGAGCTTGGTTCAGACATGACTACAGTCTGTTGACTCAGGTTTTCAGTGACATTGGTGCAAAGCAAGTCTCGATCCACCTGGTGGTACTGGATGTGAACTGATCCCAAACCCTGGGCTGGTTCAACACCCTGCACCAATACCAAATTTGAAGTGTTCTGACTTTGGTGGACAAGAGGCTGCTGGACAGGAATCACCTGGTTGGACTCAAGAAACACCTGAGAACTAGGAAATGACATATAAGAAGAATGGGCAGGTGGAATCTCACTCTGGGGCTGAGTGTGGGATTGCTGATTTTGTGGATGTGGCTCAGGAGTTCTGAGCTGTTGGTTAAGCTGCTCTTTACTAATAGGTCCATGTGAGGAAACAGGAGTGTTAGAGGTCTCTGAGCTAGCAACTTCATCACCGTTGACACTGCTTAGACATACCTGCTGCTGGGTCATTGAACCTACATGTCCATCCTTTATTTGTGCTTGATTTGCATGGCAGACTCCTAGAAATTGCTCATCAGATTGAGAATTGTTTCGAATAACAATCTGTGGTTTGTGATCATCCATTTGTGAAACCACATAGATAACAATTTTGTGAGTGATCATGCTATTATCAGCACCAGAACCAATGGACACCTGCTTTAGTGCCTCGCTGTCATGGGGTGGAAGGTCTTGTTTGGCATATGTTGGCCCTGCTTCCTGTAAGGTAGATATGTTATCCTGTAAGGGTTGAGCAGGTGAAGAATATGTAGGCAAAGGTACAGATAAAACACTGTGAGACTGTTTCTGCTGGTGGGAAACAATGGTATGTGCTGTACCTCCCACCGACCCCTGTAAGGGTTTGTATTCCACCATAGAATTAGGTGTAGGAAGACTTTGCATACATGTGGACTGGAACACTGAGTTAAGAGACTGAGCTGTGTTGAAGCTTTGAGAGTGTGTCGCCGAAACTTCATTATTCTGAGACGTAAATGGCACATTCAGGACACCCTGAGAGTGGGCACTTGGGTAGATCTCTGAGAAATTATCTTGGCATAATCTCTGAACATGGGTTCCATACTGGATCTGCTCTTGACTCAGCACTGGAGTGGTTGTATGAATAAGAGTTTGGCTAATGGGCACCATATTATCACAGTGGCTTGAGTGGGACGCCAAGGTAGTGTAAAGTGAGGAAAGATTATCTGAGGGGTAATGGGAGGTCTGTGACTGTGTTTGAGGGGTCACATAAGTCTGAGACAAACTGTCTGACATAAGACCAGATATCTGGGATGCTTGTTGACTGGCAACATCAGCGTTTTGCTTCTGAGTAGATGAGGAATCTGTTGTAAGCTTCTGAGTGTTACTCTCTCCATCCTCTGCAGTGTGTGAATTCAGCTGGATAGAATCCTCTGCACTTTTCAGCAAAGTGGATGAATAAGGCTGAGTTCCAATGTCGCTTTTAGGTTGGGGGGATCTATTGACCCCTTGTGTGGATTCCTTCTTCGAAGATGAGCTGCAAGATACTGGTGTGCGACGGGAGGGGTCCTGTGGATAAGACATATTTGGTTCACCGCCTGGGACAAAATATTCCTGCAAGGAGTCTTCTGTGTTGCCTATTTTTTCTGATGCCGTGTGGCTACTACAAGGCCTCTGGTGGTGCTTGATCACACTACATTCACGTTGAATAGCTCCATAGGTCTGTGGGGCACCATGAGGGGTGTGCAAAGCAGAGGGAACAAGGCTAAACTGGGGCTGCAGTAGGTGGGGGGCTGACTCCTGGGCTGAGCGGTATGTAGAGGAATCCACCGGCAGAGCTGAGCCCACAGAAGGCGCTGAAAGATGATTGAAGGCCAGGGCAGTGGGCAGCAGAGCCTGGCTGGGTTTAAGATGAAGCAGGTGGTCATGGTGAGAGAACAGGCCACTGGTGGAAGCACTGAAGGCACCATCCGGAAGTGTTAGGGTTGTGTTGGTAGCATAGCTCCTTGATGGGTAAGCACTTGTGTGCTGAAAGGTGGACAGAACAGCAGGAGAAGGGGAACTGGTTGTGGAAGGCAGGGCACCAGTTAGATACAGATCTCTAGAAGAGGAGTTGGCACCTACAAAGGAGATGTCAAAGATTATAAAAGGCCATGGATATGCATGTGTACAGAAAAGTACAACATCTAGGATTTAAAAGCATAATTAAAAGAAGTCGTTCTGTGTATACATTAACTCTACGGGTATGTTTTCTTACCAGTGGTGCAGGATGGAGGTCTAAAAGGAGGAACCAACGAGGCACGAACAGGACCAGCCTGAAGACTTCTCGATTCCATGGCTGACAGGAAGCTCATGATTGAGGTCACAGGATTATTACTGCTAGACTCAAGGGTGCCTGACAGTCAAAATTAAAGAGAATCAAAGCTATTTAAATCAAAACCATCCTCAAGCATTAAGGCCTTGGATAATGTTAGTCATTCAGCTGACCTGGCCCTTTTATAAATCCAGCTTGTAGAATCTAATACTCACATACAGCAGCTGGGATGTGTGCTGTAGTGTAGGTCGGGAGCTGCTGTGTCGTAGTGAAGCTCTGCTGCTGGGCGAGCTCTCCATCAAGGTCAGGTGCAACATTATAGGGACTGCATGCACAAAGAAAGCTGATGTTAATTTGTAAAGTTGTTTTATTTTTGTCCCAAGCAAGAGCAAGCCACATTGTGGGTGGTGAAAATACACAGTTGATTTAATAATCCTGACAACTGCCTTTAAAAAGTTCAGGTTTAAAAAAAAAAAGTTCTGGTAAAGAAGGTGCCAGTCCACATTGGCTAAAGTTCTGCTCATTTTATATGACTCCCTGAGCAAATATTTACTAAAATGGTTGAAATCCTTCCTAAGCATGCTAATGACAATTTTTCCTGATCGAGGACCCATTAACAAATTTAGGACACAAGGTTTTAAAGACTGACTGTGCACACTGCAAGTCGAAAGCATTTCTGGCACAGCTTCAGAGGATAAATTCCTCTTTTTCAATCTATTATCAAATCATGTATGTTTCTTGGAACACATTAAGCTTAAGGAAAAAGATTATCCTAACTGATTTAAAAAACAAAACACAGAGTATTTGCTGGCACCAAACTGGGAGCCACTTGCCTCTCCCTGTATCTGTGCTCTGAAACAAATTCAAGCCATTTAAAGATTATCGTTACTATACCTGGAAGAGCTCAACTAAAGTCTTTCACAATGTTTTCAAATACTGGAAAGCAATTATTTCAAATGCTGTATGTTAGGAAATGGAACCTGATTGGCCATAGGTATTGTGTATTTTGGAAAAGTTAGTTTGTGTTCTTTTTATTTGTGCAGAAATCACTTTGTAAAATGTCTAAATATCTAAATTGCTTTGAAGGGTGCTACAAAAATAAAATGTTACCATTTTACATAGTTGTCACCCTGAAGTTCTGATAACTATGTAGGGGAGTGGAAACCTTGTGGTTAGGGTGTAGAGCTTGGAATCCTGAGGTTGTGAGTTTGAAACCCACTCCCACACACTCTGAGCAAGACCCTTAACCCCGGATTGCTCCCTGAGTGCCCCACGATGGCAGCCCACTGCTCACCAAGGGGATGGGTTGAAATGCAAAGGTAAATTTCTCCAATGTGAGATCAATAAGGTTCAATTATTATTGTGGAACATGGCTATATACTCAAACAGCCACCACATTTAGGGTTTTTTTTTTTGTTTCCAGCCAAAAAGTAAACATCTGTGGACGGAAAGAAGCTTATTATAGCATGTTTACTGATTCCTCTGACTTAAGACCAGAAATCCTCCAGCAATTTACAGGAAAACTGTAAAAAAAAATGTCCATAAATTGTATCACTAACTCAAGATGATGCAAGCTTTTATACAGGCGCCAAGAAAAAAAAAAAGATACTTAGATCACCAGGGAGTGTTATCACAGATCCTTCCTCCCAGCAGCCCTATGACTCTATCTATAACCACCACTGTTCCCAACAACCTCAATAAGTTACATTCATTCTGATTCAGCAGTTTCTCTACCTTATTTAAATAACCTGCTGCTGTCATTTTGCACATTTCAGATGTTGCTGCTATTTTATCCATTACTCTAAAAATGTCCATAGCTGTTTATTAGTTATTTACTATCCAGGTGCAGTTTTTTATACTGTTAAAGCACTTTACAGTACAGTATTTTATTGTTTATCTTTCAAATCTTCACTATTGTGTTATTCTTATACATTTTTCTAAGGTCCATATTATTTGTGACAATTTTCTCTATCATTTTTTTGCTGATGTAACACCTGAATTTCCCCATTGTGGGATTTTTTATTTTATTTTATCGTTAGACAAAGAAATAATTGAGTTTTATGCACTTCAGCTTCCTACTCTTGATATTCTATTCCATTTATCGTCGTAATTAGTTTCTTATAAACGTATAAGAGATAAAGTAATTAATGACAATAGTAAAAATCTACAGATACACACAAAGTTGTGCCGGTTCAGTAACTAACTAACTAACTGGCTACTAGTTGTCCAACTTGCATTGGTTTAAACTTATCAAACATGTCATAATAAAGGTCCCAGTGTTCTTTAACTAGCAATAGTCCAATGCTTACTGTTTGCTAACATAAACTAGCTGAGGGAGGCAGACAACCACAGCTGTGTTTATATCCTAAAATATATTAGTAAAGCCCAAACTAACGTCTGCAGCTGTGTTTAAAAGCAAACACTAGGCCCTCCATCACCGGGCTTTCCTTGGGAGGTGAGCCGCCCACTCCTTCAGCTCCTACCTCGGTTTGGTAGCAGCTGAGCCGCGCTCATAGGCCCATGAAGCTTCGCTCTGAGGAGGAGCAGCCAGAGTATTTAGCGCGTCTGCGATGGTGGAGCCCGGCCAGTTCTCCTCCATCATCCGGTAAAAGGTTCACTTCTACGCCGGAGCTTCGAGAAGCAGCGGGCAAACATCACAGCAGCCCCGCGTCCGACCCACCGGGAACCATGGGAGAGAAACGCGGTGAAGTTGGATGTCGAAGCTCCGCGGAGGCAGCGGGATCTAGCTCATAGTTGATCCGACTGAGGGACTCTGATTTCGGCCAGCGTCTCTCAGCTGCTCCCTCCTCCCACACGTGGTTGTGGAGTTAGTGACCGTTCAGAAATGTTTGAACCCAGGACTATTGAGAAACAAAAATCAATAAACTCCTTATATTGTGATCAGCAAAGAGGAAACTGATATAAAATCATGCCAACAGATAACATCTGTAAGGTGCACTTGTTTTATTCCATTTTGAGTGATTTAAAATTTTTAAAGATACAAACTGGGACTTTTCCTCAATAGTTTGTCACCCACCGACTCAAATACATTTTAATATTATTCTATTACATTAGGCTGATGGGGTACACACACATTTAAGCCTTTGTTTACTTTCAAGATTTTTTTTTATAATAAAAATATATATATTTCTTTAATAGCTTCCAGGTCCTGTGACCAACTGACCCCAAATCTGGATGAATTTGTTCTACTACATTAACCTGATGGGGAACACTATTTTTTTCTTATTCCATTTTAAGACTTTGTATATATTTTTCAAGATTTTTTAAAATCATTTTCTTCTGCACCATCCAAAATTGGATGGAAGCCATCTCTCCATATCAGACCAGGCTTTCTCCAAAAGGATTACCAATTAATAATGACCTGCTGCTAAACTTATCATCACTTGTCAGATGAATAGCCAGAAATGACGTTATTTGTACAAGTAAGAGTTACATTTCAGATATCTGATGTTTTAAATAGGAGGAATACTATCAAAGATATGTGAAATACATATCCATACTTGCAAATATATGTTAAAATAGTCACTTAAAATGAGTAAAGATCTCTAGATATCTGAAATGTAGTTCTTACTCGTACAAAAGTTATTTCAGATTACTTAAAATTTTATTTCTACTGTTAGTAATGTAATTAGTGATATCTATAATACAGTTCTGACTAGGAATATTGTAATTGTGACAAGGTAGAATGCTTTAATGCTACCTATATTAGAAATTTGACTAGTCAGCCTGTTTATTTTATGTTAAAATTGAGTCTCATAATTCTTTTGCAAGTATTTCAAACAACATTTTAGATAGGCATTATTAAAATTGAGTTATCTGGAATTCTAATTTAACTAGTCATAAAATAAGTGGTTGATATCTGTAATGACATCTCTATTAGCTGATGTCAAGAATAGGATTTCTGGAAATCTGTAATGTTCTATTCATTTTGTGATGTCATTATGATTATTATGAAGACAGCCCATTTAAATCGCCAGTTGTTACATTTTATTGGGGCTTTGTTTTCTGGGTGGACTCACATCTTTCTCATGCCATCAGTCAAAGTTTTTTTTTAGCCAGACTGTCCTTTTTCAACATTATTTCCATTTTTATAATAACAAAGCTTGTATCTGTGGTCTCCTTCACTAAAACAACTGTCAATTAATCTCTAATTTCCTAATTAGTATACTTGTCATTGTACTTGGGACAACAGTATTGAAGAAAGTATGAATTTGATGCTGTGATCTAATGTAAATAACCCCATCCTCACTTCAAAAGATAGGTAAAGCAAATGTTGTGGAAGCCGTTTTGAACCATGATGGCCTCCGTATTGTGGTAATGTAGAGGGGCGGTTCAAGCCGCTGCAGTCTGACCGTTAGATGTTGCTGAAACTTACACATTGTAGCTTTAATGATAATAAAAAAAATCACTCCAGATGTTCCAAAAAAGAAATGTGGTCATCATATTTAAGCATGAATAGTCTAAAAAAAAGCAACTTTAGAGAATGTATATTTTGCTAAATAGAATATTTTTTTTCTATTTTGTTCAGAATAATAAAATCTAAATTGTATTTTGTCTACTGTGCAGGTTAATTGAAACTATGTAACAGTCCCTAAACTTAAAAATTCAACTTAATCAGTGCTGTTTTATTGAGGAGACAATTCCTTGTGAGGGGTAAGAAAAACCCAGATTGGTTGAGTAGGTCTTTCAGATCATCTGCATTTTGTATGATGTTTCTAATCTCTTCTCTTGACAATATCCTGGTGATTCTTTAAGTAAATCAGAGTCTAGATGCTGGTGAGGATTCTCAGTCATCCAGGTCATAGTCATTCCAATAGAGTCAAAAAACAATCCAGTGGACTTGGTTTTCCAAGTTTGAAGACATTTCTCTTCTCATCCAGGAAGCTTTTTCATTTCAAAATGTCAGAATTAGTGTTGAGTTACAAGGTTTTTAGAGTAGCCCAAACAAAGCCCTGTTTTGGATTAGAAAACATGCAAATTGAACCAGAAGAACGGATCCACCCCTTGGAAATGTTTGAGTTCTTTGTGAGTCTGCAATACTCGATACTAGTCTATGCCTCTCAAAGGGGGGAGTCGTCATTGTTGGCCTGGCTGACCAGGCCAGATGTTTTGATCCCCCTACGCTATGCAGGAAATCAAAACATCTCGTTTCTAGCTCACCTTTTACTTTCACTTAAGCCTTCATTAATATAGTTTAAGACAGTTCTCTGAACCGCTAGCATTTTTAGCAATAACATTTTTTAACCTTCCATTGTTAAGGTGGGTGTCAGCAACTGGGTGAAAGTTCTTGCTAGAGGACAATAGTGCCACAATATTTCTGTGAGAATTCTTTTTGTGCCGTATAATGTATTTTACTGCAAAAGCAAAGTTTGGGGACAATATAAATAAATAGAAATTAATGTAAGTATACCATCACATCAGACTTTTTGAACTTAATTTCTTAAGCTCACTTTTAAATAATTTTTTTTTATTTGAGACATTAGAACCATGTACATCTAAAACAGCTCATTGCAATGACTATGAAAGAAATGTTTCAGTTCAGATTTAACAAAATTCAGTCATTTGGAAAATGTAAGAGAAAAAAAACTTAACTGTGTATCAAATAGTGGAGAGTATATAGTCAAGATTAAACAAGGTCTTTTAAACACTATAAGAGTTGCTAAGGTGATTTTATTAACTGTAGTAGTGAAACTCAAGCTAGATGTTTGTGGATTTTTCCCCAATAATGTATGAAGAATCAAGGCAATAGAACAAATGACACGTATAATTAAAATAGAATTTTATTAAAATAAAATATTTTAGATTTAAACTACTTAACATCATGTGAAAAATACAGTTCCTTCATGAAATCCCTTAATTCTGACATCTTGAAAAACATCCGTTTTGCAGATTAGATTGAAGCATAAACTACAGCATTTGGTTCAGATGAAGCAAAGTTTTTCAGGGTTTTATATCCACAGAGGTTTTAGCTGTACTTCTCATTTGCTAATATGTGTTTCTATTATTTCAAAAGACTGAGCAGCATTCAAAACATAAAATATCTGAAGCATTGATGTAGATTAACTATGATATTAAAATACATTTCAAAAGTCATCTCAGGATTGACCGTTAATAGAAAAATAAGGATTCACATGACTGTTTTGGTGCCCATTGTCTACATTTGTCACATTGAAAGCAGGAAGAAAAAACAAATCACATTTTCATTGAAAAAAAAAAAAAAAGACATCAAAGTGAAAAATTAATAGTAAATTATTACGGACTAAGCTGGAAGATCAGTGCATAAAATAAGCATCCATTTAATGGCAGTTTTTACCATCGAGGAAATGAAAGCAGCTTCAGGCTTATTGTCTCTGTCCCAGAAATTATCCAGAAAATATCCTGAGTTTCTTGGTATGTGATCCATAAGAAGCTGTCTCTTTAACTCCGTTACAGACACTGTCTGCTCCTCTAAGAAAGAGTTTCAACAACTCAGAGCACACTATCTACTACATCCTTTGGATAAAATAAAGAAAAAAAAAACGGCAAACAAAATTCAACTGTATAATTAAGCTCACAAAAAAAAGGAGGGTGGTTTACATTACATGTCATGTTATACGTTCAGGCAAGCACACATTAAGAACAGGGGAACCAAAAACTAAGATGATAATAATGATCAACAAAAACAAAAGAGAAAACTATTTAGAAACACTTACTTAATTCAATTTGAGCAGAGCAACAGTTTTCTTCGTAAAAACATCTAATAGACCATAGTGATGTTTTGATTTTTAATTCATTTACAAGAAAAATCAGTTTGGTAACCGCCCTGAAGTTTAAAAACATATCTGGCATGTCTTCAACAGGTCATAAATTCATCTAAAAAAAAAAATTGTGGACGACGCTAAAAACGATGCAAACATCAACCTCAAATAACCACAGCAGAGAACAACACAAGTCAGACAAAAACATTGCCTCTCTAAAGGTTTTTACTTTTCAGGAAATGAAAAGGCGTTTTCCTTCTGAATATAAATATCCATTAGAAAGTGTCAAAAAAAAGCAAACTGTATATTTATTAATGAAACCACAGAAAGGGTCCAAGAATGGATTAATTTTACAAGAAACTAACAACAATAAAATACAGAAACAAGGTTTTCACCTGACTGCAACAATATGTTGCCTGTTTTTTGGTTGCTGTCATTTTAAGACTGAAAATGCCAGAGGTGACATTAAAATAAAGGACAAAAGAATTACATATATAGTAATCTTACAAAAAAAAAAAAGTCTACTTTGGGGGAAAAACACAGATTAATAAAGGTGATGGATATATATAAAAAGACACCTGTAATCCTGTCACGTAAAAATAGAGTATCTTGATGTAGATGCTACTTATAAATTAAGGTTTTAATTTTTCAGTCAGAGAACGTTTCTTTGAAGATCCTACCGTCGAATACTCCCGGGTCTCGAGCTGAAACAATAAAGAGAAAGGTAAGCACTGTGTCAGAGGATAAAACAAAGTGAGTGAAAATGGTCCAGAAAGTTATTAAAAAAAAGGATGAATTCATATTACCCGGGATAGGGAGGAGGTGGTAAGTCATGCTGTCCATTTAATCGGATTGCCTGGTCGTATGTGGGTAGTCCAGGAAGGTCTTCTACATCCACAGTGTGTGAGGATCCTGGAGGGGGCTGTCTGGAGACCTCATCCAACCTTCGCATTATCAGGGAGGCATTGCTCCTCCTGGGACGTCCACGGATGGAGCTGAGAGGACAAGGGAAAGGTTTACATCATGTTATGCTTAATGTGTCTGCAACCACATGGGACAGCAGCTGCCATGATGGGTCATAATAAAACATACTTGAGTCATGTGTAGCTCCTGAAAGCAGTGGTTTTAAGAGTTAGGAGTAGAAACAGAAAGGCAGGATTACCAGTGATCATCTGAATTATATATAAGCTTTCTTTCTTATCCAGGTTTTTTTGGCCATTCAGAGGTAATTTAGTTTACCCTTTGTCCTAAAATACTGACTAAATATCTGAGAAATTGCAGCAAAGGAACAAACTCCTTGTCCCAAATAAAAAGCTTCAAGTCTGATGCGTATGATGACCTCCCAATATACCTTCTAGAGAAATGCTTTAGGACATGAGAGAGATTGAGCTATTAAAGAAAACTTAAAAGTGAGACAATTAAAACCTGCATAAATGTGGATGTTCCAACAATGATATAAAGCAGGTTAACATTAAGCCTCTGATTTGGGCTATTCAAGACTTCAGACTTCAAATCTGGTCCCATGCCATAAAACCAACCCGTTAAAAATAAATCCTTATAATTCAGCCTAAGAAAATTGGGCAGTTCGAAATGAACAAAGTCTGGGAATTAATGCCATTTACTCCCACAATGAATGAACATTCAATAGTCACCAAAAAATAAACATCCTGAGTTAAATGGCTCATTAAAAACACATGTTCTGAATTTGATTAAGCTGTGATACGAGAACGGGAAATAAACATGCGCAGGTATAAAAGCAGGATACATGTGTCTCATGTAAAAAACAATAAACAAATGATAGGCATTATGCTGACCTGCAGTCTTGTGCATTGAGAGATCAATGGTTCATTGTTCTAAGATCTGAACCTTAGAGCAAATTCTTTGAGTAGAATTACAGTAATATTGAAATAGTTTTTCATTATCTGTAATCAGTGTAAAAAAAAAAAAAGGTATGATGTATATTTGCACTTTAAAAAAAACTAGGACAAACTGCCACATTCTTAAAAATCTTAAAAATTTGCAGTTAATATAAGTCTGCAAAGCGCCTCATGATATGAGCAGTTTTATTTAAAATACGTGTTTCAACTACTATCCACATCTATGGATCTATGCGTGCAGATTCATTACCACGAGGCCCAATTATATCACAAGAATGAGTGCGTGCTCCTGCAGTAGACAATCAAAAGGCAGCTTATTTCTCACATTGGTTCCGACCTCAAAGTGACAAGTGTTGACATGAGCGGACAGAAACAGATTCAGACTAGGGTAGGAGAGAATCTACGAGTGCAGAGAGGGAGCATACGCTGACGCTGGTGACATATTGGGGGCCTTGTGGTATTAAATCTACACACATAGAACATTTAAAAATGTGCGTGGTAGTCTATGTGTGTGTGTGCGTGTTTTAAATAAAACTGCTCACATGATCATTTATTACGCGTGTGCACTTTTAGGAGAATTCTGACTTCGAAGCCATTGTTTTTTTGATCAATCTACCCATCAGACTGTTTCCATTCATAATTCTTCCTTTAATTTATTACAACATTCTGGTGGCTACCAAACACATTTACCCAGCTCTCCACTTCTCTCACCAAAACATCTATTTCTGTCTCGGTCAAACTGCACCTATGTGTAGAGGGTCGAACATAAGGTAGAGCTTTAGGCGCTGTATGATGTCTCTAATCTCTTCTCTTGACAATATCCTGGTGATTCTTTAAGGTTTTAGTAAAGTCGGAGTCTAGATTCTGATGAAGATTCTCAGTCATCCAGGTCATAGTCATTCCAAAAGAGTTTTAAAAAAAATCCTGTTGAGTTTGTTTTCCAAGTTTGAAGACATTTCGCTTCCCATCCAGGAAGCTTTTTCAATTCAAAATGTCATAATTAGTGTTGAGTTTGAAGCTTTATAGAGTAGCCCAAACAAAGCGTGTTTTGGCTTAGAAAACATGCAAATTGAACCGGAAGAACAAGTCGCTTGTGAGATTGATCATGAATGTGTGCCTTTTTTTTTGGTCTGAAAAAGTTTTTGGATGTATGCAAACTTTTAGTATAAATCCCACGCAATAATAAAAGATAAATGAGACCGCTGATCTTACCCCAAGTGTGCATGGAGAGGTTAGCTTACCTTGCACGACGACTGAAGTCCCCTTTGCATTTGGCTTGACACATATACCAGATCAAGAAGCCAACAACAACCAGCACCACTCCAGCACAGATGAGTCCCACTAGAAGTGCGGTCACATCCACCCTTGTAAGATTGTCCTCATCTGGGTATCATGACAAACAACAGAGATTAAGATTAGTAATAACGTATATAAAAAAATATTGAACAGGAGAATATTTTGGCTTGGCAAAAAATCATCTTAATGTTTCTTGAAACATTCATTAGCACTTTGCCCAAACCAAGTAATGAGAAATGTCTAGCTGAACCATAAGGGGGAAAGATACTGCATCAGCTTGTGATTTGCATTGAAAAAACAAATAACACACACATCAAAATATGCAAAATAGTTAGCAAGATAGGAAGGCGAGAGTAGTCACTTAAAACAAGGATGGTAAAATTATTCTATCAAAGTTATTTAAAACATAGTGAAGTGATATAGGGAGTTCCTTGATGGTTGTGTTGTGCATTTTAGGGAAAAATACAGACCAAATGCATGGAGCAGATTGTACTTCCAAAGGAAGCTGAGGTCCTTCAATGTATTGAGAAAGATATTGCATGTCTTCTATAAGTCTGTTGTGGAGAGTGTGATTCTTTATAAAATGAAGAATTCAGGATAACAGTTAGAATCCTTTTCAAAAGACTGAAACAACACCAGTGTCTTTAGTCAGAGGCTTCTCCAGCTCTGGTGCAAGACTGACAGCTACAGAAGATTCTTCCTACCTTCAGCTGTCAACATCTACGACTGGTTCAAGACAACAAATAAGAAAAAAAAAAAAATGTAATAACAGTTAATTTCACCTGTTGTATCAAAGTATTCTTGAATTACATTGAATACATATTTTTTTTATTTTACAGTGATCTTTATCAAACAATTTGTTATTCTGTAGGGTAAATTGTTACTATTACAGCAGAATTTGCTTTGCAATTAGCCTTATATGCCTATAATAAAAAAAAAAAAAACCTTTCCTCCATTAACAGGATTAATGATGCGTCATCCTGTCTCACAGGTTGACAGTCCAACTGGAAAGTGGTTACAGGCTTTTCTTTTTCCACACTTTCCTATTATTACTATGTACATTATTCCACGATGGAACTGGTGTATCATTTAGGAGATTATAAACAATACTGAATAATGATTATGGGAAATCTTTTTGTTTTGTGATGCTCGATCTGAGGTAACCTGTCACAAAGTTAATGACGCATGACAGAGCAAAACCAAGCATGAGATCAAAGACTGGATTGTCAAGACAAGATTGTTCCCAGGAACAAATCTGGGGATGGATAATAAAAAATGTTCCTTTAGTTAAAAGGTCTCAATGAGCACAGTGGCCTCAATTGTTTATAGATAGTTTCATTTTGGAACCAACAGGATGCATCTTGGAGATAGCTGGCCATCTAAACTGAGTGATGAGAAGAGAAGGGCTCAAGATTTTCTTTATGGTGAGAGGATATGTTGATGAATATTCTGTCATACAGGTCATAGTCATTCCAAAAAAAGGTAAAGAACAATCCACTGGACTTTCAAGTTTCGCTTCCCATCCAGAAAGCTTTTTCCAATTCAAAATGTCAGAATTAGTGTTAGGTTCGAAAGCTTTATAGAGTAGCACAAAAAAGTTGTTTTGGCTTCGAAAACATCCAAATTGACCCATAAGAACGGGTCCGTCCCTTAGGAATGGGGAGCCGTTGGGGTTATTTTAGCTTTCAATACCCAATACTGGTATATGCCTCTGAAAGGGGGTCGTTAGGGGCAACTGTTGGGGCCTGGCTGCCCAGGCGAGATGTTTTGGTCCACTGCATGGGGGTGGAGGTTTCATCTATAAAGCTTTTGAACTCAAGGCTGATTCCGACATTTTGAATTGAAAAAGCTTCCTGGATGGGAAGAAAAACTTGTGGTATTGTTAAAAAATAAAAGACTTAACTGTAAAGGCTGGCAAATGTCTATCATTTTTTTAACTGAGCAAGGGCTGTGAATGTTGGATATGAATATTGGTAGTTTTTTTTCTTCTTTTTTTTAGTTTTGATGGCAAAAAAAATAAAAATGAAAACACGACCACAGAGTAAGAAAAAATATTGTGTGCTGAAGTTTTTCTGACTGGTTGATGAAGGAAAACTGGAAATACTAGTTTGAGAAGCAATTATTACTAGAGCTGACAAACTGCTCGTTATAATCGACTGCTACTTAAAATCTTGACAGCATTTCTTGAGAAATATGAAGAAAAAAAAACCCATCTATGATTCAGGTTTTTCTTTTTTTCCAGATCTTGGACTGAGATGACAGTTTGAAGGAGGATTTAAGGAAGTCCTTTTAGTTAAAAGAGAAAAGCAATCGCTGAACAGAGAGGGAGGATTGCGGTTTTAGCTTCCAAGTATCGACTACTTGTTCCTGGAACTCATTCTACAGAGATGACGCAAGAGTACTTATCATTCAAATGGCTTAAAACAAAACCTATACACAACAAGAAACTCCACTATGCAGGAGGATGATGGGTGAGTGAGTGTATCTGACTTGGAATGCATGGCCTTCGTGATTAAAAACACCAACGCTCCAACCACAGATCACTCCGCCGGAAGCTGACAGAACTGACAAAGACTCATGGATAGGCGTCAGAGAGTTTTCAGAAAAACAGAACAAGAGTTTGGTTGCTTGTTTTGTGGTTGCTATGACCGGGATGACTAACGATATGGATAGTTACGATGCTGTTTGATTCTATAGCACCATGTTTTTCTAGCATGATAATCTGTGGTTCATTTTTCACATACTTGCACCTATAAAGTGCTTTAGGGCACAGGCTGCAGTGTCTATTCTGCAGCATCTTAACATGATACCTTCACAGGGAAATAAAAATTGATAATAATCATTATGGGGGAAATATATTCCACATGATTTCATTTTTAAAGGTGACTGATCATGTTATACAACTTCTATACACAGTTTTTACTAAGTTACACACTTAATTGTTGCTTTTGCTTTTTTTTGTAATCAACGTTCTCTGTTTATATTTACTATAACAGTGGAGGTGCAGGACTGCTTGTATGCAGGGGGTAAATAATGAAGAAGTAATAAGGCTAAGCAAGTTAGGACCAAGTTGTTAAAATAATCCAATGATTAAAAAGTCCAAGATCCAGTGTGACTAAATATGCTGAAAAATATTTAATTCAAGGAGGAATAAGACTCTCTTGCATATGAAGCCATCTGTCAAACAGGTGAATCTGGATAGAAGTATGAGTTACAGTAGATTGCATTGCGTCCGGGACAGGACCTCTGACTACAAAACATTTCCTTTCTACCACTGTGCTCAAGTGCTCGGTGTTGATGGAACTCGGTTTCCACAAGACATTGCCCTGTGTGCTGAGGCCACATTTTTCTACCGGTACATTAATCTCATCGGTCCAAAGGATAAGAAAACCTTGTGGTTTATCCATGTGCAACATTAAAAACAGTGAATGACAGCAGAACAAATTCAATTGACAATCCTTCAAAACCCACTTTTTTTTTAAATCATGAACTACATCAATAAAGCCAACTCAAATCTGAAGAGTCTAAGCTGTAATCTTGGGATTTTGGCAATATCTCTAAATTGTAAGTTTGACCTTAGGGTGATTTTGTTTGGACATATCCTGGTGGGAAAGTTGGTGGCTGCCTCGAACGTTTGCAGTTGAAAATTAGCTCTGTCCTTTTACAATGAAAATGTGTTTTTTTATAAATTGAGAAGCATCCTCAGTATATATCAGTGTAATTTCCATTTTATTTCCTACCTGAAACTATGTTACTCCTCTTCCTTACCAGCAAACTGCCTGAACACCTGTTTTCTCACATGATCACACCTGGGGATGGATATCCATCAACTAGTGTTATTGGCATTTCGTTGTAATTCAAAAACACTTAAAGTTTGGTGATTATATATATGAAATGTGCATTAAAGTAGGTTATCACTGTAGCATAAGTGTGTACTTTGTCCTTTATATTACACTGCCTAGCCAAAAAAGGCACCACCAAAATAATTAGTCACACTAATATTTAATTGGACTGATTAGGGCACACTAGTATGGCGATGTTTCGATAAGCTTCTGCAACGTCACAATATTTGTTTTCACTCAGTGTTGAATTAACTTTACACCAAGATCGATGATGAAAAACTTTGCAAAGTCTTCTACAGCACATCCCAAAGATTCTCAATGGGGTTCAGGTCTGGACTCTGTCCATGAGTGAAAAAGATCTTTCTTGCTCCCTGAACCACATTCACATGTGAAGCCTGAGGAATCCTGGCATTTTCATTTTGAAATATTAATTCCAAAATATTCTTATCTAATATTTAGTTCATTATTAATTGTCATTACACTGTCACAAGTACAGAGCAACAAAATTAAATCAAATAAAAAAAAAATACCACTTCCCAAAGCAGGCACTAGCGTGAAGAGTCTTAAAGACCCACTAGGGCAGCTCATTACACCAAACTGGGATACGACCCAGGCTTCCTGTTTGCAGAACAGATGACCTACCACTTGTGCTAGCCAGCCACTCTGAATATATGACCCATTCCATCACGGAACAAACTGATGAAATAACCTGTTAATTCAGTATATCCAGGTAGTCAGCTGACCTCATTCTTTGAGCATATCCTGTCATGGATGCAGCTCCTCTGTGCTGTATGGCAACACAGTGATAAACTATAAACAGTGCATTACGTCCTTAGGACACATTTAATACCTGCATCCAATGTGGGTATACAAAGGAATAGGGGATTCCAAAATGAATCATACCCCTGAAAGATATATAATATACGCTCATCTTTTTAATTCAACCAATCGGTTTCTTCTGATAAGAATTAACATTTTCAATTAGAGTCTGTTCAGAGTTGATGAGGCATTATACCTATGTAACTAATAAAATAATCAAATACCAGTTATCATTCAAGAAGCTTTTCAATGTTTAATTACTCTAATCGGACTAAAGTTGTGATGTTTGCAAGGACAGATGGGGTGAGAGAGAGGTAAAGGAAGCCTCCTTTGTCAAAAAGAGAAAAGCCTAAATTAAGCAGACTGGGAGGACTGTGGTTTAAGCTTCCCAGCACATAAAACCTTGTCTTGAAACTTATGCCAAATGGCAAATTTGGAACAACTGAGATAAACTCTGGTTCCCTTCAATTTGAACATGTTTTGGGTGGTCAAAAAAAATAAAATTATAATAATTAAGAGAATAATTTCCAAAACATTTTTAACATGATGTGAATTAAAACAGATCAGTAGTCACTGCATATTGTTTTATAATTTTTAAGACATTCCTTATCTGACACAAATGTTTTGGTTAAAAGGAAATAATTTTGAAATTCAAATCTGCCAGAGATATGGACGGTTTTGAGCTTAAAGGAATATTACACCCAAAACATGATTAGCCTTCATTTTCTACTCACCCCCATGCTGAACAACACTCTGGAGTACTTTTTTGATATCTCAAATGCATCTGGAGATCTGGGAGGCTTCTTGCTGTCTGCTGACATTCAAATCATGGAGGTCTATGGCACCTGAGGCAGAAAGGTCCATAAAAGTCCACAAAAAACGTGTCAATATTCCTCCATACTGCTCGTCCAATGTATTCCAAGTGTCTTGAGTGGGAAGCGTCCATAATTTACTTGAAACAAAGTCATTTAGAATGTTTTTAGAGCCTAAACAGTAGTGTATAGGATTTCCTAAAAGCGCGTTCACGAGTCTACGGAAACTGCGGCAGACCAAACCAGATGAAAGTGCGCATTCAGCGTCTGCTCTGCTGATAATGCAAGCGTAGAAGAAGAAATGTGCTGTTTACCTGTGCAAAGAAAGAAACAACGAAAGAAAAATGTCTGAGGACTTCAGTGTTGAGGAAGAGCATGAGTTATTTGCCGAGCTGAATGCGCACTTTCATCTGGTTTGGTCTGCCGCGGTTTCCGTAGGCTCGTGAACGCGCTTTTAGGAAATCCTATACACTACTGTTTATGCTCTAAAAACATTCTAAATGACTTTGTTTCGAGTAAATTATGGACGCTACCCACTCAGGACACTTGGAATACATTGGACGAGCAGTATGGAGGAATATTGACACGTTTTTTGTGGACTTTCATGGACCTTTCTGCCTAGGGCGCCATGGACCTCCATTATTTGAATGTCAGCAGACAGCAAGAAGCCTCCCAGATCTCCAGATGCATTTGAGATATCAAAAAAGTACTCCAGAGTTTTGTTCAGCATGGGGGTGAGTAGAAAATGAAGGCTAATCATGTTTTGGGTGTACTATTCCTTTAACTCTACATTACATCAAATGGCTTAATTTGCATTTTAAGAGAAAAAGCTACCAATATATTTATTGCAAAGAATAATGTAGCAAATTTGCCTCAAACGACTACATGGCCATGGTGGCACATGAACGGTATAACTCTTACAAAGGGTGATACTGAGTCTTAATCTCCTCTCATTCCTAGTTTACGCGTGCATAGCTTCTCAGTCATCCAGTTCAGGATAGCGGTAGGTTAAATACACGAAATCAAAATCTTTGTCATTCTTGTAATTTTAAAACATGTCAGGCATCTTTCGTTATGAACTCTTGATGGGGTGTAACCAGGTTATTTCACTCTTCAGTTTAATTGTCCTGCTAATGTCTTTTACTCATCCCTCTAATGTTTTTTTGTCTTCTTGGGCTGGCCATCTTGGTCATATGAAGGAGGGTGTGAATTGTCCCAAAGCTTATTTGGGAGGTGTCACAGAGTTGTGTTGAATGTGGAGGAACGGTGGAACCTCGGTCACCTAATCAGTTTCTCCTGGCTGAAATAAAAGGCTTCCTGGTGTGTCCCTCACTGTGTGGAGGCAGCTCTTCTGTGCCATATAGCAACAATGTCTACTTCCTGTCAAAATTGTAAGAAAGCCAAACCAATCATTTCTTTTCTGTCATTATGTTATTAATCCATGCAATAATAACTACATTCAGCTGAAACAACTAATCGGATTAAGCGATTATTATCGTCAACTACTTTAGTAATGTGGGAGTTTTGACTAGTGGTTAGAGCTGTGCGCTTCATTTCGATTCCCACAGCCTCCACGCTGGGTCCCTGAGCAAGACCCTTAACCCCACATTGCTCCCCGGGCGCCACACAATGGCAGCCCACTGCTCCCCAAGGTGATGGGTTAAAATGCAGAGTTAAATTTCTCCAACGTGAGATCAATAAAGTTAAATTATTATTGTTAATTGTTAAATGGAGTATAGAGACCGTAAAAAATGCATTTAGCTGACAGAGCGACCCACTTAGAGAAGTAATTGTACCAAAAATTGTAAATAAAATATATATACACACATTTTGCATTAAGATAAAAAAAAAAATTTCATCCATCACTGCGCCCTACCCAGAACTCCTCGATTGGAAATGTTTTAGTTTCACCTGGTTTAATTTCGTAAAAAATCTTTTGTAAGGAACCTTTGGCTATCTGATTACTATTAGATTAGTCAAAAATTTTATTGACAGATTAATTTGCAAAATAATCTTTAGCTGCAACCCTAGATCCAGCATTTAGTTACAGCAGAGGCGTAGCCAGAAAATCTTTATAAGGATGGCCAGGCAATAACCAATGTACACTGAGGGGTGGCTGAAAGTGGATAGGCGGCAGAACCTCAGGGTCAATCTACACTGCTCCAACCGGAAAAGTAACAAGCAAAACATCCATATTTTTGAAATAAAGACAAACTATACTTTCTTATAGTCTTTGCTAACAACATATTTAAACATCCGTTCTTTCTAAATACGAGGTATAGTGGATGTTATTTATGTATGATTTTACTGAAGACTCCCAGATGAATTTCAGAGACACATTTTCTCTTTACCCCATATAACACAAAATCTAGTTCTGAAAGGAGCCTTAATTATATACTTATGTTTGATGTTAGTATATTGATGTGTATAACCACAAAAAATGTAAATGTTTTGAAAATTCCACTTGAGAGTATTATTGCTGTATTTAGAGGGGGAAAATGATAGGGGTGGCCAATGATTGGCTAAAGGTGGCCATGGCCCCCATCTTACAGCCAGTAACATTATAATATCCAAGATTATTTTTCACATTAGTTGATTAGTCTCTTACTTTTTGTGTATTCCTTCCAAAAGTCATCCTATAAAAAAAAAAAAAAAAAAAAACAAACAAAAAAAAAAAACAATCAGAAACTCTGCTCAAAGAGCCATTGTGATCAACTATATTCAGAGCAGGAAGACTTAACTGTTTGCCGATCGTCTTCAAAGACTTCCCTTGCTTCCTCGTAGTTGCACACTTCTTCTATACACTCCCTCTCCAGGTTCCCAGGAACAAACATTTCAAAGTCAAACTTATTGAGCAGCAAGTGGCGACCCAGGAACACATTGGCGTCAGTCTCCCCTAGAAATACTGTAATCAGAAGCAAACAGGTTAAACAGGGAGCGCATATAAACAGTACTGGTAGTAGCCTCGGTCACATCTTACTTTCTTTGTCTTCTGATGGTTCTTGTTGGGAAATGAACGTCTTTGCCGATGCCATCTGTCCAGCGCCCCACAGCAGGAGAACAAACAATCTAAATAACATGGTAGGTTTAACTAAAAACCCGCAAACTGGCTGCCTTTCAAACTGTTAAAAAAACAAAACAATTTTCTTCTTCTAATGCTGGATCCCTACATTATATATCATTGTAAACTAACGCAGCGCAAAATAATGTCCAGAGTTCAATAACAACGAAGCGAAAGTTATCAGAGAGCGGCTGGTGGCCCCGGAGCGCTTCTAACGCGGATAAACAGGGATCTTCTGATTTTAACGCTTAGATCTATAGTTGTTTTTTCTCTTTCCTGTTCAGAATTGGATTCCGACTCGTTAACTGTAGATAAACACAGCGGTTTATGGTGAAACTGGATCAGGAGCTAAATAGCAGGAACTTTGGCGTCCTCCCGGCTGAGCAGGTTCCCGTAGCTCCTCCTAAACTTCCACCTGTAAGGCTTGATCAATCGATTACCTTTACCTGGATTACACTTACACACAGTGGACGCTAGATGGCAGCAGAAACTCATCCAAGTAGGAAAAGCTCCTGGGACTGAAGAGTGTTGAATAAGATAGATTAAGATGTGATGTGACTCACAGCCTCATGATAAACACCACCCTGTGACAAAACATGTTTAGGCCTTTAATCACAAACTCCTGCTTTAATCTTGGTTGTAAAAAAGAGAAAAAAAGTGTAAAAAGCCGAGTTTGATAATGTATTCTACAAAAAATATATGTACCTGTTACAGCGAGGTTTCTGTAAGCAGCACCACAATACAAATATAAATATTTATACACATGATAAACACAAAAGAAACCAATTACTAATGAGAAGTTCATATAAACTCTGATCAAGTCAAAAGAAATAATAATTTAGATTTAACTTAAAGTCATAGGGAAGTCATATTTACGTTGTTTACATGTTTCCACTGTTCATAGCGCTCCTTGACAGTGTCATTTCTAAGTGCTACTTGGTCCCAATGTAATTTCCTATTGAGAACCTACTAGTCTAAGTTCCTAACTGGCCAGCAAGATGCATCCAAGACACCAGCCACAACTAAACATGCTTGCAATCCTTCTGCCACAACAATCCCGCCCCTTTGATAATAGACCAATCACATTCCCTTTATTCACTCATGTAAAGTCGGGCGCTACTCGGGAGAATTCCAAACTGTATCCGTTGGAACAGCCGCTTCCCTATGACTTTAAAGATATTTTCAGTTTAACTAACAGTTCCACCACTGGGGACAAATTTTTGAAAATATAAACTAAAATATAATTTTATTTTGGTAGTGTTGCACCGATGTACCTGATACCAGTATCAGGCAGGGCCCCGTTCCAGCACTAAAATGGTGGTATCGGTATCGGCGAGTATCGACAAATAGGTCACCGATACCATTTTGAGAGCAAAAGTTTACGCAACTATTGTCACCCATTCAAAGTACCATAGGCAATAAAAAGTTCTACTGGATTCACTTTGTATTAGTCTTTTTCCTGCTTCACAAAGGTAGGCAGCAGCTTGACAAGGTCATGATGACAATTATTTTACATCCAAGTAGTATGCAGTTCTTCATATATACACACACACATCAATTTCAAACAATAAAATATCAATCAATACATTATTTATCCTGAAGGTAAATTAAATTATTTTTTTATTTACATTTTCAACCAGAAGCTTTAGACTATGAAGCAACACCCACTCTACATATAGTTCTAGGCTTAAAACTTTCCTTTTTGTTAAAACTTATAGAGTGGCCCAGGTTATCCTGAGCTATCAGATAGTTTCGCTGCTATAACCTTAGCCTGCTGGAGGACATAGGGACCATTCTGCTTCATTGTATCCCTGTTCTCCCATTCTGCAGTATTTGGGTGTTGAACCTCTAACTTCATGTTTTTTTCTCATCATAGTAGTTTCATTTGGTCTGTTCCTGATTGTCTCTGCCAATCAGGAACAGAAATATCAGCTGTGCTGCTGCCATCAATGCCTTTAATTATAGATGTTGGAGCTTGGCCTTTTGTTTAGTGTAGAGCTGTTTCTATTACCGTATCTACATGTATGTGCTCTCTTTCATCCTCTGACATTGGAGCTCAGTCAAAACCTGTCTGCTTTGCTGTGTCTTAACTTCAGTATGTCTCGTCTGTGTCCTTGAACCCCAGTCGGTCTCGGCAGATGGCCGCTCACACCGAGCCTGGTTCTGCTGGAGGTTTGTTGATGTTTAAAAGGAGTTTTTCCTCTCCATGGTCGCTCCAAGCATGGTCTGAGGGATTGCTATTGATGCAAATAGCTGGTTTTCCTTAGATAGAAAATGTAGAACTAATCTGACTGTATGATCTGGTTAAATTATCTCTCTAAAAAAGCTTTGAGATGACGTGTTGTGAATTGCCGCAATATAAATGAACTGAATTGTATTTAATATACTCCAAATGTAAGACTTTGGAAGGATGCAGCATAGAGAAATGACTACTTTGAAACCAAACCATTGTTTCCAACTAATTGTTTTTTTCCCCATTTTCCTTTCATCTGTAAGAGTTATTGTTGCTAACATATCCTTGCGCTTACATCTCTGACCTACAACCAGTGCAATTATCCTACATGTAAAGGAGTCGCCTTACCATGTGAGCCTTCAGAATGATGAATGCATGACCCTTTCTGGAACACCCAAACTTTTTCAGGCTCTTTTTACGCTCAAACACAAAGTGCCCTTTGGGATCCTCCAAGTCTCGTAAAAAGCACTTTATCTACCCCTCTCTCTGTATTTCCAGATCTTTGTTTGGGGAAATGTAACTACTACAGCTATGCTTTCCACACAGAACACTTTAAATCATGCTTAACATAAGTTATAAGGGATAAACGTGAAGAATTAAACCCTCCATCTAGTTATATTGTCTCCATTTCGATTTGATGTAACCAATTTTTACCTAAGAATTGATTGCAACAGCAGCTATCAGCCCCGTGGTTGGTGATGATTTAAAATCCCCTATAATTATCCGCTTCTCTAACATCTGCCTAGAAGATTTTTGATGCATCTAAAGTCAAATGCTAAAAAATGACAAGTCATTACAAAACAGACAATACGTTTTGATTGACTGCTTAATAATTAGTGGTGACAGTCTAAAGACTTAATTATTTACTGCAGTAAAGTAAATCTAGTGATTATCAGTCAGGATACTAAAAATATGAAGAGTGCGCTGAGCAAACAGGAGCCAATTAAGCAGAAATGTCTTTATCTGACTGTGATAAGACTTGCACTGCTCTTACCAGATAAGTTAACAGAGGCTTTAAAACTTTTTTAAATTTGAGAAAACAACTCAACCATTTAAACCGCAGCAAAATAAACATCACAGTAGTGATACAATTTGATTTTTAGAATTACAGAAACTAAAACCAAACTTAAACTTGAGCTAGAATATTTAGTTCCTTTCTGCCCTTCCTTGCAGGTGGCTGTGATAAGGTTGCGCTACAAAGAATGTGTTTTGGGATTTACTCCCCTGATAAGAGCTGGAGATGCTGCCCTGTAAAACTGAACAGAAGTGTGCTGTGAGGTTAAGCAGACATCTGCTGCGATAGCAAAATTAAAGACTACGTTGTTGTAAATGGCTTAATTTCTCTAAAATTTCAGAACCCTGATTAAAAATCTAAAGATTTCAAATCTGTAAAGAATTTGAAGAGGTCCGACACAGGTCTGCATAGTTGAAGTTACATGTTTAAATGTGAAGGAAACTTGCCAAATGGAAGAGCTTAATATAATGCCAGTAATCTGCATTGATTTCATCATCCACCCAGTAAGAAAGCTGAAAAAACCCTTTACGCCCCCATTTAATCCCCAGACCATGAATCATGAAATTAACATGTCTGATACCACCTGCACATGGATTATTGTACTTAAGAAATTTTCAAACTGCTTCTGTATTTTTCAGACCATTTAATGTATTAACCATATTTATGAGTTTTGTTTTAATGACCTCTTATTAAATGTTTACAGACAAGTCTTGTTTTATTCTGTCAGTCAAACGAAACCATGAGTTATGTTCGAACTCTGCAGAAAAATAAACAATGGGTTATCTTTTATGGTGTAGTACCACAGAGAAAAAAAAAATATTTGCTTGGTGACTCATTGTAAGGCAACTAAATACATATTTAAGTCTCCGTAGCCATTTTCATTGCAAACCAACAGGATGACCTCAATAGCTGATCATTCTCAAAGTTGCACAAAGACAATATTACAGCTAATTCTTGCCTACCTTTTAAGAGCCAAAGTTGCATGCAATGCGTTTTTAACCTTAAATTTCAAATGTAGTCGCTGTTTTTATCTCCTTAACTATTAAGAAATGATAAAATATAGTTCAACTGATAATTTATGCTGTTCACACAGCATATGGTTGTATAAATAAAACCATTAATGAGTAATAACCACGTTTTTTTTTCCCCAGACAGTGACAATATGGAACATTCATACCATTACACTAATGTTTCTGGATACATAAATGTTAAATTCTTTATGTTTTCCCGCATTTAAGTAGTTTAAGAATAACAGCGAAACTATTTCCAGTGCATTAGCAAAATGTTCCTTGAAAATTTTTATTTCTAAATATTGTTCAATGTCTATACTTTATTTATTCAAGTTTTATGAGCATTAAAGCCAGTGAGTCATGCTTCCTGCGGCTGAGCCCTCGCTATCAACCCAGCTGAATCTTTCATAGTTTCAACAGGAGGAGAGCCTTCAGCGCAATGTGCCTTTGATCGTAGCACAGAGGGTCACTCTAAGTTCAAATGAAAACTGTTGTATCGGCATAGATGACAAAGTGACCCTCAGGCTGAAGGTTACTTCTCACCCCCAGTCACAGCTCATCTACTATACTGGGAAGCCTTCCTGTAAATGGAACCAGATGCTGAGAACTGCTAGGAGAGAAGCTCCAATTAATGACACTGAATGTCTTTGTTTAAAGAAATGACGTTACAAAAAAAAATAAAAAAAAAAAAAGATCAATTCAACACTGTAATATCCTCCATTAGTACAAGTGAAAGTATTTAATACCAATGAATTTAAATAAACATAACACAAAAAGGCCCTCATTGGTCACCTTCACTTTTCTTTTATTGATGAATATAAAAAGTGATCTTTACAGCCTGAGAATCTGTAAAGCAGTGAAGATTGGAGAGTAGGGTCTATGCTGGGATTACGCAGAGGGGGACAAAGTTTGCAGACTGGTCTTGACGGTTGCCAGATTGGCCTTCCAAGAGGTGAGGGTGTCGTACAGCTGCTGCCACTGCTGCTTGCCAAAGGTGCGGTGTGTGCTGTGGCTGAGTGAAGAAAGACAGAAAAGCAAGTTTAGCTATAAATAAAGGAAACCAGCTCGACGTTCCTGGTACACAGCTGATGTCAGTAAAAGACTCAATTATAGAAAAGAATACCCATTTAAAACACCTTTGTTTCCCCCACAATATAAACCAA